ACTGATAGGTGGTGATTTGGAGCTGCTCTTACACGGAAAAACGGATTTTGGAGCCGACAATTGTGAGCGTTCATGGCAGAAAAAAGTTTATACAATCGCTTTAAAAGTTAACCAGTCAAAAAAAAAAAAAAATAACTGCAGTTTTTGGTGTGTTGGGAGATTATTTAAAGTGGCATACTAACAAGGGCCTGGCCGTTACATTTTATTTATTTATATATTGAACAATCATACGGCGGTAATTTTGCAGGTGTCTCAATTACCTATTAGGAGTACCTACGGCGTCCTCGGTCTGTGTTAGACCAAGATGTTCTTGGCTACTTTGCAGGGTTTGTATCACGCTGCCCTTGCTCGTATTCCACCTGCTACTGTTCACTGAACAGCTGAGCGGAGCACACAGCTAATCTACCCGATCACAATGAATAGCGCTGGCTATTCATTGGAATCGATGTAAGCACCGTTGGTACAAAAACCGATAAAGGCACGACCACATTGGCGTTTCGGAGGCCTGCGGCGCGACGGTCGTCGCTGCCGGTTGCCGGCGGAAACCAGTTTTCGGCTTCAGCGTCACGACGTGCGGCGCCGCACACCCAACCGCTCCTTGCGCGGTTCAGAGCTGAACGCCGCACGCCGCAGAAGAGAAGAGCCAATGGGAGGTGGCGTAGATAGTGACGTCGCGATGCCATGGCAACGCTCAAGCCGGTCCTCGGCGCGTCTCGAAGCGAAGGACGTGTTTCGTGTCGTCTGCTCCCCCTATTTCCCCCCGATGCCTTCCCCAACGGAGCGGTTCCTTGAAACTAACCGCTGGGAATTCGGAATTACAAGTGAGTTTCTCCGTGGCACTTGTTGCATGTCGTCTCTGTTGTGACAGATGTCGTGTTGATTTGGTGACACTTTCGAGAGTAGCCTTTATCTCTGGCGCGCCGCCGGGGCAGCAAAGCCCCGGCGGCGCGCCAGACCTGTCCTGTCCTTCGGTGTTTCGGTAGAACCAACTCGGCCGGACCCAAAACCTGCGCCTCCTTCCCTTCAGAGCGCGGCGACGTCGCAAGATCAACGAGCAGGCTAGGATAATCACATTCACGCTGATCTACAGGTCATTATGAACTCCTACTGTCTAGACAGCGAGTGCGGAACGGAAGAATCTAACGAAGAGCAGACGACGAAAGAGCGGGAAATCCGACGGGAGGCTCGATCGCGGGCTCCAGTGCTGTCACGTGACGCCTGCAAAACGGAGGCCAATGTGGACTCCTCGCGTTGGGACGCCGGACGGCGGTGCCGCCCGGCGGCGCCGCCCGGCGGCGCCGTTCACGCTAGTGTGGTCGGGCCTTTACTCTTCATTAGACATGTGCAAATGATGGATGTTGGGTCGAGACCAGCTATAACGAAGTCAACAGGAATGGGAAATCACTTCGCTATATCGCAATTTCGTTATAACCGACTTCGGTTATAACGATGTGCAAAAGGGAATGAAAAATCGTGATCGCTTCGCTGTAGCCGCTGTTTCGTTATAACCGACTTCCGCTATAACGAAGTGCAAAAGGGAATAGGAAATCGTGATAGCTTCGCTGTAGCCGGTATTTCGTTACAACCGACTTCGTTATAACCGGTCTCGACTATGTGCGTACTTTTGGCCGAACATCTCTGAAACGAGCATTGAATAGTTGCAGCACCTTTCACCACGCCTTTCGCTACCGTTACACCATGCTTAAACGAAAATTCAGCCGAGCTCGTGAAGGGGTTCCAAGCTTCTAATTGCACACTTACGAGCTCTGTGAAATTTCATCTAGCTACATTTCTAGAATGTGGCCTCAGGAAGTCCAATGCCTACATTGCGATGGCAAGTAAATGAAAGATTTCACATACGATTAAACCTATTGAGGAACCCAGCCCTACCCGAGGGGAATTATAAATGTTCTTGCTATATGCAAATATTTCCTTCGATTCTAAATAAAAAAAAAACACACACACACACAAATAATGAACACAGGTTGTTAGAACATCGCTGCCTAACACATACCTTAGCATAATAGCCACAGTTAAATATTGAAAATCTTACAGCAATGTAAATATAAACAATCACGTTTTTTTTATACATTGTGCGCGCGTGCACCAGGCCATTCTGAAGGTGTCTTTTCACCTAAGCGCGCTGCTCCGCTGCGGCGAAAGGAGTCGAGAGATCGCGGTGTCAGCTCCGCACGTATTGCTTCTCCGCAGTGCACCGGTGCTTGAAAAGAAGCGGACTCAAGGGGGCTAACCCGTCGCGATCAACACTTTGAAAAGTACGAATATCGCACTTCATTAGCGTATTATTTGAAACCACTATTGGAATATTCGCGCAACCCTGCTCTTCGCACATAGTACCTAGGCATCCGAAAAAACAGCAATGCCACGTGCCAGACACTTTCAGTTTCCTTTACGAGAACAGATGCCTTTTGGCGCGGGTATGGCGAAGATTGTGCACAAAGACAGTCATGCAGATACTTGCTCGTCCTGGTGCAGCTTGGCGCAAATGGCACATAGGTTCCACCACAGCATACCCTGCCCGATCCAACCACTCAACAAGAAAGAGCTAATGGGAGTTCATAATGTGAGAGCAAATCAGGACCAACGATGCATGCAACTCTTCAGGATATCAGTCTAGAATCATGGTTTTTCATTTTACAGCGGAGCTGTTAAGAACTCGTGTCGCCAGGATCGTGTCCCCCGCAAAGAAATGAGGACACTGAACACTGGACACCTACCGCCATCTATGACCGACGGCGGCAAGCCATGTATCTGGTTGCCGCCGCCAGAGAAACAGTGAGCAATATCGCTGAACTTCCCAAGTACGGTCAATGATGTTTAACACGAAAAGCAAATCGAACAGTACTTTGGTTCCAGAAATAATCCAATGATTTAAATATTCGCTCAATCCTACGGTCCTACACCTTTGGCACAGCTATCATATCCCTGCAGTTTTCAGGCGACACTTTGTCGTGTGAAATGCAGTTTTGACTCATTCTCGATACATTCGCAAGCAAAGTTGCAACTTTGGTGGCATTCGCGGCGACGTCGCACTCCAGTTGGTGTTTTAGGACATATAAAGTTATACAAATTATTAAAAAAGAACTTTCAGCCTTTCCACTCTGGTGAAAAAGGAAGAGCAGCGGAGCTGTAGCTTCTGTTCTCGGCGGTGGCTTTCCAGGCGAGCGACCTGCCCTTCTTTCGCACGGGAATCTGAAGCGCTCGACGCAGTGGAAGTGTAGGCAATAGTGACCTCGCGGCGGCTGCGAAACCATTCGCGCTGCTGCGCACATCGCCGCTCGTTCCGTTCCCGCTCTTCTTCCTCCGAGGAAATGTTGCCACCATCTATGAGCGACGGCGACAAGCAGACAACCGACAAACACAACACTCTGGACAGCTACCGCCATCTATGAGCGACGGCGGCAACCAGAGTGCTGTGTCGGCCACGGCTGTCGACATTTGTTTGGTACCGGACACGATCCTGGGGAAACTAGCCCTTAACAGCTCCGTTGTAAAAGTTATTACTAAAATGAATTGTGCGTCGCTGAGCGCTCATTTTCCACACAAATGTAGGGCTAGTGGTCCGAAGCAGACGCCAGCTTCAGAGCTCACGTTTCTAAAAAGTTGTGGTTTTCCGTAATTTGCAGTGAGAAGGTGGCGGCCGACGGGGCTGTCGAATATACGGACCTGAATGGCACCAGTTATCAAAAACGGGCCAAAAGGGGCCCTGCCCCATTTTGGCATTAAAACTTTTAGAAAATCGCTTTTAAATAAGATAACGATAAGCTCTGAAATTTCGGCTTCTGGTTAGGACTTCTAGTTCTCCATTTGAGCAGATGACGAGTGTTTGGCAATGTGTAGTTTATTTTGTTGTAACATTAAAAGGCTTAACCCCAATTAATTTTTTTTTTAAATGTATAAACATTTAGTTAGAAAGAGTTGCCAAGTGGCGCAAACTGCCGCCCAATTTGGTCATTGTTAGTTGACGAAAACAATACACCTTTCAAAGTATTTCGTCTCCCTGTTCTCGGAGCTCGTTCGTAAACAACAGACGGGTTTCCGAAAGCTGCAAAAAAAGTAAGGTAAAAAAGCAGACATGGCCAGCGTTCAGCTCCCGAACGCTAAGCCTGAGATGCTACCAGACCCCCTGTGCGAGAAGCAGACAACGAATTTTTTCACCCTGACTGGAGAGGGGCTTTGGGTCGTGCCAATAGAAGACATTCAGGATATAGGCGTAATCGTTACCCGCTCTTGTTTTGGTTCACGTCAATTTTTATTTTTTTAACTATTTGCAGTTTGAAATGTTTCCCCAATTCTTTTGTCGCCCGTACCGGACATGTTTACCAGGTGGCTGGGGACGAGTGTAAACGAAAAAAAAAGGCGTATACAGCAGAAGACGGTACAGTGAAACTTGCAGTACGGTGGCAGTTTACAGCAGGGCCATTTAAATGTCTCCCGTGGTCTGATGCAGTACGCCAGACACGCACAATATAACCATAAAGTTGTGGGCGCACTACCCATACGTCATACAAAAGACATTCTGCAGGCGCTGTCCGAGGCGTGTTTCTTCCTCGTGCGACTGCTCTGCCATGTTGGTCACAGAGAACCTGTCTGCATACGTGTTCGAAAAATGTGCATGCATGAAGCATTGCTAAAAGGTATGTTTGGGCTAGTAGGTAAGTTGACGAGCATCTTGGTTTACAACAGTGCGACAAGACAAGGGCACAGTAAAGACGAGACAGACGACAGCAGCGCCGTGTGTCTCATCGAAGCAACCGTGCTTCGAACACGCTTGAGGCCAGGTGTGCGCAGATAATATGTCTGCAGCGAATGCCATGCTCTTTATGTGACGTATGAGCAGTCTAAAGGTGAAGTGTGCAAGAAACGTGGCTCAGCATTCAACTGCGATCCCAACTAAGCCGTTCTGGACTCGTATTAGCGGGAACACTGCCCCCGTACGATGCGCCGAGCCGAACGGTGGATGACAAACAAGAAAACGGTTAACGCTGTCAGTCGTGCACGTTTTTATTTATAAAACTTTCCTTTATAATGTAGGAAAAAAAAGAAATAGGAGTGGACCAAACCGACACCATAAGACATTGCTATATACCGTGTGCCTCTAGTCGGGTGTGCGAGACGACACACCGGAGGTGAAGAAGGCAGAAAGGGTGTATCAAACAGTTGCAAAAAGAAAAACAAAACATGGGGTTAATAGCTCGCCAGTTTCCGTATACGAGATAATAGATGAAAAAAGACTGTACATCAATCGTCATTCGTACCGTCACCCGTCGAAAGAGTGGCCACACCACAAAACGAGCAAAAAAAAGTCGATCACATGTGACATTTGACGCGCATCAGGTGAATCCTGCGTTCGTTGCCACTGCGATAAAAACACCCGTGATCGTTTGCCGTGTTACATGCACCAACTCGTGTCTGTGACATCGTGCCAGGGCGGTGATGCTGGCTGACAAATGGAACACTGGCCAGGTGGCACTAGTCAACACCCAGTTCAAAAGGTTATGTCGCATTCGTCTATCCATTCGGCACAAAAAAAATGAAATAAAAGGGATTTTGCGCACGCGTCGTCACAACTCACATAGGCAGTTGCACTTGTTTATGCAATGGGGAACTAGTATAAACCTCACCCTTCTGATTCACACCAATAAAAACTTGTCTGACAATTCGATATGGTTCGGATGCGGAAACACGATTCTGAGAGCTTGTGGAGATGTACAGTGGGATTGTTTTGCAAGTGAATTCGCAAAGCTAGGCAACACACACAAAAAACTGTTTTTGCTGGTGATTTAAGTAGTAGGCTGGGTTGACCTTGGCGCCTCGGATTTGTGGAATGTTAAGTGGAACAGGTTTACAGTGCCGAAATCAGTGGGCAGATTTATTGCAACATATCAGCATACTAGTCGAGGCATCATTGCACGACCCCAGTAACACAATTAGCCATTGGAGGGAGCAAAAAATGAAGGCATGGAAGGGTTTACATCAAAACTTCCAGTTTTACAAATGGGACGTCCAAGTGCATTTTCCCACAACTAAATAAAAAATCACAGAAACATTTGCGATTATATAGTGTAAGTACATTGAGCAGGGCGTTGTTTTTGTTGTTTTTTTCGAAGCAAGCTGTCCCTTCTGGCTTTTCATAACTCTGAGATGCGCTTATTAAAGATGACAAAGATATAAGCAAGGCATATGCTAAAAGAAAGTGAAACTTCTCAGCATGCAAAAGGCCTGCAAATTTCGGAACGCTGATGCAACACAGTTTGAATGAGAGACGATTTTTCCTTCTTTTCTTTTGCTCACAATTTAACCCACAAGGCTCTGTACATCTCGTTGTAGTCATGAAAACCCGGCGCAAAATTTGTGCGGTTGAACAGGTTTTGGATAGACCTGCCTGCGACAGAAAAGTCAGGTACAGAAGGGCATAAAAATGTTTGCAAGTGCAAGATTCGAGTTTCTTCAATCAATTTCTTGTTTGGTTCCCTCGATTAGTAAAACAATATGACTCCCCAAAATTTGCTGGCTCTGGGAACTTCGAAACTTGGCCCACGTCACCTTGTAAAATAAAAAAAAAAAAAAAAAAAAAAACCCACCAGCAGATAAGTCAATAGCTGACTCAAAGATTGAAATATCAATCGTGGAATGGGACTGAAGAGGCAAGAACAGAGCTCAGAAAGTTGGAATGTTTCCAGAACGATATAGGAACAGCAAATATATGTCTTTGAATTTCAAATCTAACTAATTGTAACCAGACCCCTAATTTCACACACACAAAAAAAACAACATCCCAAATGTGCTTATTTGTTCCCGGAATTCTAGGAAGATTTCCAGAAATTCAGCTATGAGACAAAAACGAGCTTGAACTGTTTGAAATCAGTAAAGCATAATTAATAAAACTACGGTAAAGCAATTCTACGACAACAGTCCTTCGCCGACGTATGTCTAACCAATGCATCTCTAAAAATGCCCTTTCATGACGGGAATGTGCAAACAAACGCTCGCTTTTTCAATAGAGTCCAGGTACCAGTTTGTCTGAGCCACAGAAAGAAGTAACTAACTCCAAAGTACACTTAACCACAACTGGCACACCACACTTGCAGCCACCGCATGCAAACACACACCCAAGTCCTGACCCACAAAATATGGCATTAAGTACGGGCGAGAAATTGAACAGTCACCATACCTTACGGCGTCAGCGAGTGTCACACCCTCAGGAACTATTTATAAAATGATAATTGTCATCATCAGCAACTCGCTTTGAAACCTTGGCAAGATGCGGAAACATGGCCGATCGTACGAAGAGATGAATGCCTAAACATTTAAATACATGGGTCTCCCTCAACCAAGCTTTCTAGGGACGCTACAAAGAGAGTAAGCAGTTAGAAGGCCTTCCTGGCTGTGCAGGTGAAACTACATGCAGAGACGACAAAAGCAAGCACTTAGCATTTGAGCATGAGCTCTAACGAATCCCGCGTGAAGTCAGGTGCCGAACGCGGCGCTGCTGTTGCGAGCCAGCTTCGCATGAATCGTGTTAGCTGCGGGCACAAAACAACGTAACCCAGAACGTTAAAACACGACAAACGGTAAATTAAACCACACAAGCTGCATGCGGCTACATAGGATAAGAAGTCGGCCATTTTTATCCGTTGAGTCAGCCTTTAAAAAGCCAATTATAGACAGCACTTCGGCAAAGTTGAGACGAATTATGAAACTCTTGAGTTAGAAATCGGCATTTGTGCTCCTTGTCCAGATAAACTTAGTTATGTTCTTACACTGTTCATTCTCACGGAAGAAAACAAAATAGTGGTTAGCTTAAGACCCGTCGGATCTTGAGCTATGGTTGAAATGCTCGTAGGCAAAACCTTGACCGCTAGGCCATTCCTGTCAATGACTGACGCTGTATTGTCTAAAGCTGACACGAGGTTTAGTAATAAAAGCTAATCTGACCCAACCAAAACAATTAGCTCGTGCAAATCCCCCCAACACGAGTTGCCGCACGTCACTGCTAACGATGGTAATCCTGCCCACAAGCAGAATGACCCTGGTCCCAAATGGAATGCACCAGAACTATAGATTTTAGGATAACCGGTAGAAAAAAATGAGCTTATTGGGGTATAAAAGGTAGAAGAAAGAGAACCAAGCTAAGCTGCACGTAGCTATCACGGAAAATTGGGCTCGTTTTTAATATCGGGAGAGCCCTATTGAGCTCGATCAATTTCTTCACAGCTAAAAAGAAAGCCGTCGATTTATACGGCAGGAATGAAGCACATTGCCGGCCCTCCAGGCTTACGTCACGATTGTCTTTTCTGCCATGTGCGAGTTCCCCGAAAACTTGGCCACAAAACCAAATAGGCCTTGCCAGACATGACCATCCAAAAGCAGAAACAAAAGTGTCCGTGCTCCGAAACCGTTTTGAAAAAGCTAAAAATGTCCTTCCGCCGCTTGCAACTGCACAGCCCCTTGGCAGCCCTGTAGTCCGCAACGCAACGGCGACGGAAGACTCGTTACAACCTCGTAGAAGCTTCGGAGCCGCGGAAATTAATGAAAGACTACGCAATGAGTCACACAACTTTCCACGGGACATCACATTCGTTGTTGTTCGTAGTTGTCAAAACTTGCGTTTGCGGCGAGTCACATCGAGAAAGTCTTATATTACAAAGTCGCTGTTTGACGGTGCTGGAAGTGACGTCGGAAACGTAAAACGGGATGAACGGCCTTTAGTGTCGGCCACGGGATACACTCGGTACGTGGAAAACGTGACGGGGTGTCGCACCACGAGAGTAGTAAAGAAAGACGTGGCGTGGAAACGGCTAGTCACAAAACCGGTGACACTAACTTCTAGCAACCTCCACGTGTAAAAGTTCACCCACATTAGAAACGGTAGAGCGGTGGTATGTACACAGCGTGCTCAAGAAACGCTGCCAGTTCCGTCTCATTTGTGCCCTATGAAAGCGTTCGTTGGATTGTCGTCAGCTGTCGAGAACTACTGGTCAGACGCGTGGTGTCGCCGCCGCAAGGATCTGTTAAGCGAGCCTTCCTGGCATGAAAATGTCGCAACTCCACGGCGAGTTCGAAGAAAACGTTCACTTGGAGAGTGTGCGTTTGCACGTGTCGTACCGATGCTTGTGAAATGGCACACACTCGAGACAAGTTTTGTGGCACACACCGGCTCGTCTCGAAACACTGGAATGTGTTGAAAGAAAAACTACAACCAGGGACCAGCATGTGACAGAAACCACCTTCGACCTTGCCGAACAACATGAGAAAGAAAGAAAAGAAAGCGATGACGTGACATGTACAGAATCGTCACATGTGCGTGTGGTGGTCATTGTTCATTATGCCAAGTGTCCACAAATAGTGTCACAAACGAACTGTCACATCGCACGGTGATGGCATGCTTGTGTATTACGTGATGGTTGCTAGTGCTGACAGTATGAGCTATCTACAAGAAAGAAGAGGAGTGAAAAGTTAATGCAAGCGAAGTTAAAGAAAAAGAGGTGCACCCTCATCTTATCGAAAATGCATGTTCCATTCCTTACACTTTACATGCAATTATTTGTGGAACTATCTTTCTCCGTTAAGCATTTACTTCGTAGGAGTCGAGGCAAAAATTGTCTCTCGGAAGTGTACTGTAGTATTGCTCAAGCTGAGGACACAATACCACATTGTCCCACGTTAGACATGGATCCACTTTTGTAAAAACGTGAAGGAACGTTCGTTTCAAGAGCAATCACCCAACATAAGAGAGATACACTTTCTAACAATAAAACTTGCATTAAGTAACTGTTGAGGTACCCCAATTCACAATAAAGTGCCTAAATAACTAAATCGTCCCAGGAAACTGAAAATAAACAAACAAAAAGAAACTTGCAACTCCGAAAACTTGCATCCCTAAAAAAAATCCTACGAAAAGAAAAAAAAAATAGAAAGCAAAAAGATGCAAGCATGAAATTGTGTATACTAGTGCTCTAACACATAAGCATATTTGATACACAAAACACTATCGCTGGTATTCACAAAGAGCAACAAAAAGAAGACGGACAGTTAATATGTCACCAACGTGCCATCGTGGCATCCCCTTAAAAACAAAACATCTTTGAAGGAGTTACGGGCTATCGTCTTTGCCACGTAACGATGAAACAAGAGTTCCCTAACGGTGCCACTAACAAGTTGCAACACGCGCAAGACGTCTGCCGGCTTACACGAGCATTTCCCATCGCATTTGGCGTGCATTTTGCGGCGCCGAAGTGCATCACAACGAAAAGACGACCCTTCCCTAAATGCACTGCCATCTGCGTAGGGCCGCAGCCTCTAAAAACGACTTTGCAGCCAATCTCCTCAAGGGACCTCACTAGAGGGGACAACGTCGCCGCTCGACACGACTTCGGGAATGCACTAAAGAAACAATCAAGACAAGCACGAAAACAAGTCGGAAAAAGGCAGAACTAAATCCAGAATTACGTTTTAAACAGGCGCGGCCCAGATTGGAAAGAGATGGGAGCCTGTGGCACTTCGTTGCGTTTAGAGCGAAGTCAGCCGACAAGACGCGGCCCGACGATCTCAAGAGAAGACGCCACCTGACGAAACTCGCTCGACCAAACGAGAAGCTACGAGGAACACTGCATTTACGCGACCCGTCGAAAAGCTACGAAAAACAATTGACCACCTCGAACGAGAAGCAAGCTCGGCCGACGTTGGCGACAATGCCGTTTCATATCCGAGCCGAGACAAGCATGGTTAGCGTCTGCGCCATGGGGATAAAGCGACAAGGAATTTCACTTGAGGCCGGTTCATACACTTGCGACTGCTTACGATCCGAGTGCCTTAAAACTTCTTAAAATCTCATTTTAAAATCACGCTGGCGCCATCCATTGGGCAGTCGTGGAACACTTTTCATTTCTGTATAGTACTTCCTATTTTATTCAGTCTGGCTTGCAAAACTTTTGACGTTATGAACAACCGTTTTTCATGTGACAGTACACATTTCATCTTCTGAATACCGCAAAACCTTCGCCTTAGGGAAGTGCAGTTCTGGAATCGCCCTACAGATGGCAAAAGCATACCGGCGCGCTCACTCGTTGCGAGAACTCGGTCCCAGGCAAACGCAACTGCACGAACAGGTTTTTAGAGACGAAACCCCACACACATAACTAAAGGGACGACGTCTGCGTTCGGAGAATCGGTAAGCTACGAAATGAAATAACAAAGATGGTTTCAGAGACGGATGCGGCCGAACGTCGGCGACACTGCCGTCGATCCGCCACTGGAGGAGGTGCATGACTCTTCTTCGCGCTGCACAGAAAGCCTCTGCCTCGCCGGCGCGTGTTGCGGTGCCACGCCATCGCCGGGTGGTGCAACCGAGGATGTCGGTGCCGGGGGTGGTGCCCGGAGCCCTTTCTCCTTCCGGTGGGCTTCCCAGCGAGCGTCGTCCGACTCGTGCGTCAAATACCGCACCCCGACTTGGCTCTCCAGTTCGCGAACGTCACACCACGTCTGGTAGTCCTGTGCAGATGACAAACGAGTGTCACCATGGATGAGCGTTACCGTGGAAAACATTTTCCCCAAACAAATGCTACCAAAAACGAACAATAACACAACTAAATGTTGTTGCAAATGAACGTTACCCCGAATGAGTGCTACCAAAAATGATTACTATTACCACGGTCCGACGTTTCCACAAACAAATGCTATCACAAATGAATGTTGCCACAAACAAATGTAATTGCAATCAAACATTAACCCAGACAAGCGTTACCACAAAGAAGCGTTACATCAAATCAACATTACTATGAATGAATGTTACAACACACAAATGTTACGACAAACAAACATAACCACAAACTTATGTTATCACAAAAAAACGTCATCACAAACTAACATTAACCCGAACGCGTGCTACCACGACGAATGTTACTATGAACAAGCCTTACACAAAATGAACATTACTATGAATAAACTCTGCCAGCTCCAAACGTTACGACAAACAAACATTACCACAAACATACATTACCACAAAACTTATGCTATCACAAATGGACATTACCCCAACCAAATGTTACCGCAAACGAACACTAACGCGAACACATGTTACCGCAAACAAGTGTTACCACGTTGATGACGAAAATAACAGTCTTCAGTCTTCCTATCTGCCAGCCAAACTCCCCCTAGAATTACTTGAAACTGAGAGAATATATTAAAAGTAGGACAGCTGCAGGCACAACTTGCAGGAATGCAATGGAATGCAATGACTGACACATTGGCGTGTCCTTTGTGAAATGTTGGGGACACTGCTGCGGCGACGATCGCTCGCCCCCGAGCCCTTCGAAATCTTTCCCTAGTTGGGAACAATTTTGAGATATAGCCCCCCGTTTAGTTTGAGGCACTTACAATACGCACCTCACAAGCACCCAGAATTATACCGGTGGTACCAAGCAATGCCTTAGGCCACAATAAAAATATGCAGCGCCGGTAACTTACCAACAGCCCGCCGACACTGCAGACAAGCAGTGTCAGCAGGCAGGCAGCAGTGCAGTGCACTTTTCATCAACGTTATGTTACTACTGTGCAAGTGTCGCGTAAATCTCGGTTCACGAGAAGGAAAAGTAAAGGAACTTTATGTTGAATCATACTTTGCAACCGCTCGTAATTGCGTCTGCAGAACGTGTGCAAGTCTCGAGCTAAGGACGGAGGAAGGGGGGGATGCTTACTTGCAGCCAGGTGTGGACCAAGGACTTGTCCACCGTGTAGCGCTTCCTTGTCTTCACTTGCAGCAAGTTGTTGATAAGGTCAACAGCTGGAACAACCAGGGATCCGACTCAGATTCGTCGGCGTCGATGCAACCGAACGAGCGACAGAAAATTATCTCGCAGCTAAATGTTTCCAGGCTAACAAAAACCATTAAACATTAATTTTTGTTTTTTCAGTCGCGACTGCTGCATCACGCAGGTGCTTTCGCGAGCCACTGGGGAGTTTTATGAACTTGTAGATAAACATAGAATTCTCACAGTCTTATAACAAACTGCAACTATCCCCTGGCTTAGATATATTCCACCAAAGGCAATGAAGCTGCAACATCACTCTGTGAGGTCTTCAACGAGCAGCACTTCAAAATGCCCCTGTGCCTATTAAATTATTTTATTAATATGCAGTTCCTATTCAGCCATGCAACCCCTTTTCTTAAGAAGTGAAGGGAAGAAAGAGAGCATTGCAGCACTCTACATGGTGCAACGCCATTGGTCGCGCGCTCCGTGACGTAAAACGAAACCACTGCGTCTTGTCGCCGACACTCTCTCTCTTATGTTCTCGGGACGGTGCGACCGACACCTACATGTGCAAGCAAAGCGTAAAACAATCGCTTTAAAATGCCTGCCTCTGACTGCATTTCACGCATCGTCTCTCCCCACTGGAAGTGACAGAGGGTGGCTCACCCTCTGGGGATACGTCCTTCCACGGATTGGGCGGGTACATGAAGTCGGCATTCTGAATCTGGTCGTTGATGTCCTCTTCTTCGTTGAACGGAAAAGTTCCGCTCAGGCTGCGTCGGAAAAAGATGAAAAACAAGTCAGGGCCGTCATGGGTATCGCAGTGCGAAATAAAAACAGCATTTTTAAATCGTTGAAGTTCTGAGTCATGAGGGAGACAGTGTCAAATCAAGATCAGACGTTCACACGACTTTTTTGTTCTACACTAGTTGCTACTTAAGCAGACGTCATCGCAAAAAAGCTTGTTTCCAACAAGTGCCCAGTCCATGCTTCCTTCTTGACGTTTCATTTGGTATTCATTTTTATGCTAATAAGTTTGCACTAAGTGAGCATAAAGTACACAATAGGTATGATTATAACTGTGGAAATTAGCTCGTAAAATTGCTTTTTAACATAAATTATTTTGTGGAGACCAACCTTCAAGGCAAAATGTTTGCACAATCTGAATGACAACAGAATTTTCATTTTGGTAATGCTAGTTTCAAAAATTCATATTAAAAAAAAAGTCAAGTAGCACCGCATTTTCGTTATACAGTGCAATCCACTTATAACGATAATGAGAAAATCCAAAACTTCAATCGTTACAACTGATTATCATTTCATCCGGACTAGAAGCTAATCGTTTCTAACCTAGTAATTCTAGAAACTGATCGTCATTAGTGGTAAATCGTTATATGTGGATTGCACAATACTAAGGCAAAAAAATTTAAATGGTCATAAGACAAAGCATTAGCAACAATTACTGTAGGCTCGCGATAACTCAAACTCGGATATTTCGTACTTCCGGTTAATTCAAACAAATTTCATAATTTGGGTTGTGCCACAATGTTTTCAATGTATTTATAAGCCGCTTAATTTGAACGGTGTTTTCGTCCAGTTCATACTTTTTGTTCTCGCGGCCCGCTTGAGTGCGCTTCTTTCTGCGCACCGGTGCATTGCGGAGAAGCAACACCTGCGAAGCTCGCTTCTGAGGGTGTTGCTTTTCCGCAGTGCACGGGTGCTCGGTACGAAGTGCGCTCAACGGGGCTAAAGCAGGGGACACGTGAGCGTTGAAAAAATTCGGCAGACACTTAAGACTGCTCGCGTGTGGGAATGCGAAAGCATGACGCACGCACTAGGCACAGCTTTAGTCCGCCAGAGCCGTGGAGTCGGGGAAGTGTGCTCATCTCACACCCCAGAGACCCGGGTTCGATTCCCACCCAGACCGAAACATACAATATTTTCTTTTCGAAGCCATTAATTGACTTTGTTTACAGGAACCTCCGTGAGAAATTTTTGACGTGTTTTTCCTCTTTGCGCTGTGCCGTCGGCAGTTCGGCTGGCCCCTTAGCAAAGATGACACATTGCTATGCGTTGCAGCCAATGGGAATTTAAGTGCCGTTTACAGGCTTCACTCCATGGGACAGCTAATGCTTTTGCATTCGATTGGGCACTATGCCGCAGTTTCCGTAGCAACTTGCGTGGACGCTGTAACCTGGCAGCATGGTATAGGTCCACGTCTAAAAACTGCCATGCAGTGCCTGTTTTTATCGCTCCTATGTCCCCCGCTTAAATAGTCCACAGTGGACAACTTTTTTGCTGGATGAAAAAACTTAATTTTGTTTTGAGGTGTATGTGCTGCCTAACAGTCGATGGAAAAAAAAACATTTATTAAGGGATGAATAAACGTAACTCGGACATTTCCCCAATGTTTCACGTGTGGCATACCTGCTTATGATTTGTAGGCCTGTGCATAGGAAATCAGCAAATAGTATCTGCCTGTTACGTGTAGCCATCCACTTAGCAAATCGTAAGTTTATCTTGCATCATATTTAGGCAAATATTTTATAATTCAAAACTTCTGATAATTGGAACAAAATTCATGGCTTCCTGGAGTTTGAATTAATGAGAGTTCACTGTGTACTACTGTTTTATGCTGAACAAATCAGATTCTCTTTTTTCCCGTTCAACTACTCTTAGCCTCAAGAAAGCATCAGCCAAGTATAGCAGGCAGCTTATCATATTTTTCAGCTGCTTGTACACCAACTCAAGTCTCTGAGATCCCGCCACTGCAGTGTTGGCACATTCCTGTTGGCACATTGCATGTGCGACTGCTGTTGGCAGATTGCATGTGCGGACGCTTCACCTCACGCGAATCTGGTTTCTGCACACGTGCAGTGCCCGCGCCCGGTATGTTCAAACGCGGGATTGCTTGTAAACGGCATGTTGGTGCCCGGCCTCTCAAACATGCAATAACCTGCCAAAAATGAGTAATCTGTTCCAACTCTGCTCGGACCTCAATGAACGGGGCGCTTCAATCGCCGGATCGACGCTCACCTCACGTAGATGATGACTCCTACGGACCACATGTCCAGGGATCGGTTGTAGCCCTTGTTGCGGAGCACCTCCGGAGCTGGACGACACCACCGAGAAAAAGGAATGGATTGAACGTCGTAACGTGCCCTACGAATCTGGGGGCTAAGCACAGGAGAGAAAGGCGGGTGCCGACTCACCTAGGTAGGCGGGAGTCCCGACTACGGAACGTCGGAAGGACTTCTCGCCGATGATCCTCGCGAAACCAAAGTCGCAGAGTTTCACCTGCAGAGAATCAGAGCTATGAAGCAGTTCTACTTTGCAAAAGTATGGTCATATTTTTATCGCTTAAATGCTTTCTGGATAGATCTACTTATCGAAACTCTCGAGTGTTTAGCCAATATTATACGACACAATTCTTTCTTTATTTTAATATTATAGGATTACCTGTAGGTGTAAAACGAGGAGGGACTTCTGCATTCTCCAAAGGCTGCAGACCTTAAGCCAAATCCAAAAACTCTTTCATGACCCCCACACCCCATTCTTGTGGCCTAAAGCTTGTACAAAAGAAGTTTCTTGCCTTTTATTAAGCTGATGAGCTCAAAGAGCAAAAGAGAAAGTTATTCAGCATTGCTGAAGAAGGACTTGCTGGCCAGCCTTTTGAGGAAACACTGTGTTGCAGACATCACTAGTAGCAAGATAGAATTTGAAAACCAGAACTTATAGACACTTGAACAACTAACATTCTATTCTAAGGGCATCAAGAATGGCATTCTGGAGTACACCGACATCTCTGGGGGGAAGACTGTTGTGCCTGCTGCGATCTTGAAATAAGGAATAAAATCAGGACAGACGCCAACGGAAGAAAACGCGTGTTGAGGCCCACGTACCTGGGGGAAGTCAGAATCCGACGAAAGCAGCACATTTTCGGGCTTCAGGTCGCAGTGGACAATGTTCTTGGAGTGCAGGTGCTTCAGGGCAATCAGAATCTGCAAGACAAACACAACCTGTGTCATCCAAAGCAACCTCGTCCTTAATAAAGAACAAGGCACAGAATCCCTTGTTTGGTAGACAAAAATCCTTAGACCAGCTTGATTTGCAGAAAATGAGGCCTTGACACAGCAGCCTAAAGTTAGGTATATACTCTCCATGAATGCGTGAACCGATTTGTGTGATCTTAATTCATCAGCATATATTTTAATTTTTGTTATTAGGGTCTACTTAAAAGCAGTGCGGAACAAGAAATTGCCAATATGGTTACTTCCCTTAGAATTACACAGCTGCCTCATACGAGTATTGGAGCAGTCAAATATGCATCAAACAAAAAAGGAGGCATGTATCCCAATAATATTCAGTACACACAAATGAGAACAGTACAGTATATCAAGCTATGTAAATACATAAATATAAGGCCCTGTTCTAAAAGCCACCTAGCTGTGTCTCGAGAGTTTTGCATTTGTCCTTTGTCCCCCTTGTTTCCCTTCTCCAGGGATTATTATTGTCAGGCTGGTCATGTCCTGGACAGAAATTCCTCCTCGGCTTCACTAAAAGCTGTAGATGTGAAGAGGAAAAGAAACCGCACGGGTGGTGCCATGTTGCCGCACCTGGTAGATGAGGAACTTGGTCGTTCGTTCGGAAAGCCGTCCTTTCTCGCTCGACAGGATCATTTCCAACATGTCTCCCTTGAGCTTCTCCATCACCACGAATATCTGCAACCAGGAACAATTGATTGATTAAAAGTGCCTTTATTTTACGGGCTTTCTATGTATGCATGCGAGCAGATGAAATGTCTAGACTGCAGTATTTGCGAGTCCAAGATGCCGAAAGAGCTATCGAGAAGTCTTGAGCTCGCTAACACAGTGCTATTGCTCATACTGATGATCACAGTGAAGCAAACACTACAAGAGTGACTCAATGCTTCGAGCACGCTTGCTATGCAGATGCTCAAGTGAAGCAAAAGCGTCAATGAAGACAACACGTTCGTGCTTGTCACGTCGGATTCGCTCCACATATGGTAAAACGAGGTACAGAACTTTGATTTGAAGAATTCATTTCAGGTTTGGTCTCTTCTAAATTAAAGAGAGCAACAACTTTAAGACTTCTAGAGAATATGTCCCATGAAAGTTTCCAACTGTCAATGACTATCGACAACTTGTTTTTAATTTTATCAGTAAATGAATTTCAACAAGTACTACAGTATGAACTCATTATAACAGACCTTAATATTGATGAGGATTTCGGTCTGTTGCAAAAGATGCATGCAAAATGTAGATACTCTTACTGGGCAGACTTCGAGGTGGATTATGACTGAAGTCTGTTCTAACAAGTGAGACTGATGAAATATGAATGGCTATCAGAAAAGAACTGGTTTATTGAAACTTCTGAACTTTGAAAGAAGATAGTGATCTTTCATTGAAGGAACACTGAAAAGTCAAAATCATATTTTTTTTTTTATTATCCGAAACGATTGTAAAACAATGTCTGGACATTACCCACAAAATTCGAAACTTGGTACTCGGTACTTGTTAGGTAAAAAAAAAAAACTATTTTCCAAAGCTGAATATGAAATTCCTGCACGATCCGCACAAGTGCAGTGACGTCAAAGATTGAGTCGTACTGCAACTTGAATTTCTCTCATGCCTCCAAACCATCAAGACCTCTGGAGTGTCGTGTTCGCCTGCGTCCTGCAATCACGCTCTTCTCTGTGCCTGCCGCCTATCGCTGTGAGCAGACGATGCTTCACTTTCGAGCTTGAAGTTCTTTTAGGGACCTTTCAGCGATCTAATTCTTTGCAATGATGTGAGGTCGAAGAGAATGTGAACTGGACTTTTATGAGGGACGTGAGGGGCCACGTCACACCAGTTCTGTGTGGAAAGCTGCCCTGGCGGAGTCACAACCGAAACTATGGTGCACAGACAACGAACCCAGTTGTTCTGACCGTTTGACAATTTCCTTTTTGAAGTCTGAGAGGTCGTCGGGCATTTAAGAAAGAGAACTTCGTCCGATTTCCCGACTCACCGACTATCCTCAGTGCTACATGCGCAGAGCGTCGCCATGATTTCCGAGGGAGGATAAAAAGCCAGGAGACGACATCGCTCCGGACTCCGATTTTCGGTATTTCAAATAGAAGGGCCGTAGTGCGTTTGCAATCACATTAAAAAACATGTTTTACGAATTCTGTATTAAATATTATAGAAATGTCGCTTACAAAGCTTCTAAGTTTCATAATTTTTGATGTCACAAATAAAAAGAAGTGAGGAGGTGAGAAGAGGGAGAGAAGGGCAACAAAAATAAAAAGGAACGGACGCGCATGGGAAATTTTTTTTTTTGTGTTGGGGTATTTTTGTGTGTGTCTATGACTACAACTTGCATTATTTTAGACAACAGCAAAAAAATTGTAAAGCCCATGCACTTTACGTGAAGATGGAGGACCAGTGAAGTTGTTATCTTTACAACAACTTTACGATGAGCTCTTTCAAAACACGACGTTGTAAGTTCTAAACCCAATTTTTCGAGGCAGACCTTGAGGACAGTTTTTTCCGAATGAACCCAATTCTCTTTATCAGCATCGCGGAAATGAAAGAAAAAAAGGTTACATAGGCGCGTTCTGCCCTCAGCCTCGTCACAGCGCGCTCTTAGCTGAGATAAGTTGGTGACCGTAGATGATAACAAGGGATCAAAACCTAACTATCTAATAACGCCATGGAAGGCTGACTCACGCGTGTTGCCCTCTCTTTTTATTTATACTTGCAACGACCAATCAGAACGAAGGAACGCGTTTAAACGGCGTTCCTAGCACATCCTAGAACAAAACAGCTTCACTGTAAAAACTAGGGGTGTGCGAATATCGAATAGTAGTTTTCGAATCGAATACCGAATCGAATCAAGAAAAAAAGCCGAATATCATATCGAATAGCGATTTCATTCATAGGAATTTTTTAAAATGTGCTGCAAATGAGATTATTATATGTGCAGAGTATGCACCTGGTGCATAATATGCATCTTGTACAGAACAAAAGCTAAAACGTAAAAAAGTTCTGGTGAAAAAAAAAAAACACAGTTGCTGTTGGACGTTGGGTACTAAAGGTTCAATTTTATGTCACAAACATAACCTATCTACCCTAATCATCACAAAAAAAGACAAAACAAAGTTACAGCCACGCGTGCCTTTTTTTCTCGTTAAAAGCACAACCTAACACCGCAATTTTTTAAAAATATTTGTATATCTCAGAAAAGGGGCATTTTGCGATACTGTAAAACTCTTAATGTTCGCGAGCCCTCAATTTTCGCGAATTTCACGAATTGAAGAATTTGCGAAATTTAGTAGTCGCGATTATGTCATCTGTGACCGATTCGCGAAAAATAGGGGCCGCGAAAATAAAGGGTTTTACAGTGTTTGGTCTCCATTTTAAGGAAGAAAAAGGGCACCTGGGATTTCATTTCACATAAGTAAACAGATAGGTGTTAAATCTGAGTAAACTGGCTTAAACAATATAATCTGAAGTTAGAAAAAAAAAAAGTGGTTAGGTGGCGCAAGTCACCGTCCAACTGCCGCTATGCATCCATTTTTCTGCCTATCTATCCTGTTTTAAAGAGCAAGCAAAACCGAAACCACGGAGACGGCTCCAGCACAGATTGGTCGTAAGTGTGCATGAGTTGTGTTGTCGCGTGGAAAGAAGGCGAGCAAACAGAAGAGCGACGACGCATGCCCTGCCTGCCCTATCCCGGTCGACGCTTTTGTCTTTTCGTCACCTTCTCGCAGTTCGTAATTCAAACGCGGCTTTTGAACGGTTGGGAACCCTCTGAAGTCTAGGCACACTATTTTTCCGTCCCGTTTCGTTCCGAATCAGAATTTGCAGCTTGCGGTTCCAGAAGAGCGACGACGACAACTCGGCTGGTTTCATCGGCACGGTTAACGTGGTTTTCTTTCTGTGATCATGCAGTCGCTGATTTCTGTGTGTGCGGCAAGTGTGTTCTACATCGGCGCTTCAATTTGAATTGAGGGGCATTACTCGTGAAAAGAATTAAGCATGGTGTGGAAGTCCGGCTTCCCAACAAGTCCTCTCTGGAAGCGGTGCAAACGGAATGTTTTGGTTGTGATTCAAGGGTAGATCTGCGTGCTAAAAAGTTTGTGGCGTTCGTTACTTTTCTTTTTCTAACCTGTCCGTTAGATTTTTGTGCAATGGTAGGACCGAGAGGTGTTTCTCGCATGGTCTGTCTACGGTAACATTACGGCACTCACATCGGGTGAAAAACCGGCTTTTTTGTCAGCTCCGCGCCGACCGCGCGTCTTTGACCGAATATATTGAATATTCGAGTGACTGAATACTAGGAATTCGATTCGCGAATCGAATTATTCGGGAACTTTCTATTCGATTCGAATTCGTATATTTCAGTATTCGCACACCCCTAGTAAAAATACGACCTTTGGGGTGTCAGTGCCTCTTTAAGCTCTACTCATGATCGTCATCACTGCATGCTTTGGCTCATAAAAACGCCAAGTGCAATGGCAGCAGTACATAAAATGGATGCCACTGCGGCCAGCACTGCCGAGTCAAAACATTGTAACGTCCAAAATAATGACTGCTGTGAAAGAGTCCAGCATAATGAAATGATGAGCTACCTACAAACCCTAAATGAACTACCCAAATAGTTCATTATATCCGAATGAATGTTATAACAGAATCGGTAATAAGCGAAGGTGCCTCGATGGCAGAGATGGGAAGGACGACCAAACTTCACAAAATGGTGTTATAACCAAACGTCTGCTGCAACCAGATCTGTTGCAACGAGGTCATACTGTAGCGACTTTTAGGCGTGATGCAAAAACTATAAGAACAGTTCTCTTGGACTCTCTACTGTTTCCAGAATGTGTAGACATACTTTTTTCCACTATTCTTAATAAAAAAATAATTAAAAAAAAAAAGAGCAAAAACTTATGCCATTCAGTCTAGATTTTCTCGCAAACTACAATAATATACAGAAAGAATAAGCTTACAAGATGTCAGAATTTCATCTAAACTTGGCGAGAAATGACACACTTTTCGAGACTAGGGTGTTCTCTCAAAGGAGGAAACAAAGCAAACGTGCAAAATCCGAAAAAAAATAAAAATAGAAAAGGCCAGTGTGCCGAACCCTCTCGGCAGTCTCGAACATCTTCTCGAGGTTGACGACCCCTGGGTGGTGGATGTTCTGCAGGATGGCCACCTCGTTCTTCAGCTGGGCCTCCTGCTTCGTCGGGAAGCGCAGCTTGTCGATAACCTTGATGGCTACCGCGCGCGAGCTCGTCCTGTGTACCCCTGGACCGGAGAAAGACATAGTTTCACACATTAACTTGTGACAAAAAAAACCTATAAGAAACTGGAGACGTTCCTTGCAAAACTCAGAAAGGGAACCTAAAAATAAAATAGCAAAACAAAAATGAGCAGTCCTGCGTTACTTCGCAGTACAGTCAGAGCGACAGCTGCGACACGTCACAGCGAAGTCGTTGGGAATCGGCGTCGCGTTCAAGCAATGTGGGATGAGTGAACGAAAGCGTTCTGAACAAAATAGACATCCGTTTTGTTCCGAACGCTTTTGCTTCTTTTTTCGTTCCGGAGCACGTCTCCTGGCATGAGCTCTTGGCATCGACAGTGCTACTACGATTTTTTTTCTCCAGAGATTAAGTGCAGTGGGCATTGGGCACAACAAAAACCCTAAGTGTAAAGCGGGTTGTTAGTGCCGTGGCATGGCTTGATGGTAATGCCTCAGCTTTGCACGCAGTGGACCCAGGTTCGGTTCCTGCGGGCTATGGGCAACCTTTTTTCCAAGGATTTGGCAACATCGACGATGTACGCCTTACCTCACCAACTACAACATCAACAACGACACTCCCACATCAGCAACACACGTCATTTCCAGTGATGGAAAGATCCCATAACAGTTATCACTGTAGAATACACACAATGGCAGCTAATACTCCAGCCATGTGGTAGAATTTAACGTCACTTCCATCAAATTACGTTTTCCGGACTGCCAATCAGTGCATGCCACTCCTGGTGCAACGCGGTGCACCTGCAAAGCTCTTAAACGGGATCACGAGCCGATTTGCCAATCGCCTAATGTCATTAAACGGAAATGACATTACATTTTGCCGCGGGTCATTGTGCTTAACTGTTGTCGCAAAACATTATGCACGGCCTGAACCGTTTAGAGCAATGTTGACAAGGTTGGTGCAGTTTCCACAGTACCATAGCACTGCACCGCCGTGAGAGTATGTGGCTTTGCCTTGTGCTTCATTCGCACACACTATCGTACAAAGGAGATGTCAGACAAAGCCACGTGCTCGCGCAAGTAGCTCTAACGTTGTCCGAGCACTGCGAAACTACAATATCCCTAACGATGTTGCACCAAAAAGTTGATGCCAAAGTTCTACGCCAGAAGCTGCTAGAAACGTTAACCCATGGTTAAAAGAAAGTGACAACTAAGAGCTGCTGCTTAAGAACATACATGTTGTAAAATGTTGTAAAGCGAAAGAGAGGACAAGGCTAGGGAGAAAAGCAGTTACTGCAAGCTGCGGAATGCTAGCAACACGATACAGCAAGGAGAAAACTGCAGCAACCATGCAACGTTGCTCTAGGCTGCTAGTTACACCTGGGCATGAGTACCCAACAGGAAAGCTAACCTACTTAGTACAGGGCAGTCCTTCGCACTACTACTTGAGGTTTGGCGAATAAGGAGCCATATAAGCATTACTCGGCACAATGTATTGTTCTCACTGTTAAAGGAATTTCCAAACACTTTTCTTAAGTTCCTTCCACATAACACTAGATCACCACAAGGTACGGAATGATCTACTACCAGCTTGTCTCACTGAAGCGGAGAGCAGGGATAGGTTTCATAGTGCCGTGGTTGGCCAAAACATTGAAACATTAACTGTTTAAAACTTATTCCAGTAAGACACCACCAAAACAAAGACACTTTCTTCCCTATTTGTAGGGGCCATTTGTCAACAAGCTATTAGATTAAAAGTTGTAAAATCATAAGCGAGTCGAAGGAGGTGGGGTTAACCAGGAACATACCCCCATAGACGATTCCGAATTGTCCCGATCCAAGCACCTCGTCTGGGAAGATCTGATACCGCTGACTGATGTCCTGCAAACGGAGAGGACGGCGACAACCATCAATCAGATGTCAATCACGCGTCAGTGAAAGATCGATTGGACGACATAAGACAATGCTCCGTGCTGACATACCATGTTCTGTCCATTGTCACTTTGGTCCTGACCCACTGCATCTTGTTCTAAAAAAAAAGATTAAAATTATAAGTGCAACGGCGGAATGTCTAAGATTTATTTAAAGGGACGCCGATGAGCTGTCTGTGCTTGTTGAGATTAGTACCAAAACACAGTCTAGGAGGGCCCAAACACCCCAAAAAAATATGCCGTTATTGGACCGGTTGATATAACTTAGTTTAAAAGAATACAAGAACACAAAAGCCGATTTGGAAACATTCTCAGTGTTTCGGCCGGACGTCAAAGGTGCTAGCTGCATATTTCTCGTTCATTTCAAAATTCTGACAGATCATACACTATGGCTCATGCATATTCATGGCACTGCTTTATTCCAGAACCACACGGTGGGGTCTTGCGTTAGTCTCGCAAAGACTATGGCGCCGCTTTAGCCTGCATTATGTAGTCGCATCTTGCAGGTGGACCTGTGCCCCGTGGCCGAGAGAAGCAGGATCATAGATGCAGGAAAGCACAACCTATGCGAGAGATCTACGAAGCAATGCGATGCAATTTTTTAAACCACCTATGGTACGTAGTGCTTTTGTTTACGTTGCGTGCGCCATGTTTTACTGTCCTACACCTGCTTGCGTCATCACCGCACCTACAGTATAAATGAACGAAAAACATTGGCAGCTACGTCTCGAACTATCAATCAAACCGTCGTACAGAATTGCAATGCATAAGAAGCTGCACGTTTTCAGGATACTGTCATTATTTCTCATTTTCATCCAATTATACGCATCATGTCATCTGAGATCACGGTGCACATAGCCATGTCACGTCACGTGGCACAGTATCACCTGACACTGTGACATCACGTGACCAGACGACACGCGACGTGGTCGTGTGGTGTCACGTGACCCAATATCGCATGACATATTTGTGGAACATCAAGTGGCATGACGTTGGGGCCCGTTCGCACACACGCGACTCCTTAAGACAGCGTGCCACAAAACCTCTTAAAATCTCTTACGACGAGAGACTACGCCGGCGCCCTTTGTGGGGTGGCCGTGGAACACTTTTAGTGTCCGCACATTTCCTATTTTTTTTAACGTATCATTCTTCCCTTTTTGGCCTGAAAAATTTTCAGATCCCCTCTAAGGTGGTGATGGCGTGACAGTGTATTCTCACGTCCCAAGGGACTTTCAAGCGTTTTAAGGCACACGGTCCTAGGAAAATGCAAGTGAGTGAACAAGCCTATGCGGAGCGCAAGTTCGTCTGCTTCTTTTGCAGGGGTTGTGATGACGTCAGAATGCCGAGCTCTGATTGGCTCAGACTGAAGAAGGATAGTGGGTAGACTTCAAGGCAGCATGGTTTGAGGTCTACCCACTATCCTTCAATCTGAGCCTATCAGAGCTTGGTGTTCTGACGTCATCACAACCCTTGCAAAAGAAGCGGATGAACTTGCGCTTCGCATACTATGTGTTGTCATGGAGACGTTACAATGTGCCACATGACGACTTGACATCCAATGTTGCCTGAATCAATCACGTTCCTCACACCACGAGGTCACGTGATGCCAAAAATCTGCGTCGCGAGTCGCGCAATGTCGGGTCGCGCGACACGCCACGCAAGCCACGAACAAGCGCGAAATCGGGTCCAGTTTTCATCAGAGCGAAGTTCCGCATTAATAAATAGCATAAATGGTTCTATTTCTGCGGGCTCAATATTTCGCTAGTTTGGGAAAGCGTGGTTTTCAGGAATACCATGCGGGCACAAACATCCGCAAATCAGGGTGGTATGCCATGCATTTGTTACCATAGGTCAGTGGTTCTCAAATGAAGGGTCTGCGAAGGCCGTCTTGGGGTCCCCAAAATCTTAGACCGTCAATCGAACAGAGCACTAAAACTTTTATTTTGTTGACACTGGTCCCACATAGCTAAATAGACCGAACCATGGGCACTCAATGAGAGGGTTGATTATTCTGTGTTCCAGAGCTTTAAAGTTGATTTGCAAGCATTTAGTTTCCTACATTTACCCTTCTGTCATTCCAGTCGTCCCCCCACCTCCCTCCTGGTGGCTGAAAGCCCCCATCACTTACGTCGTTCGAAATTTATTTAATTTTGTTCATTTACACCTCCGTCATTTTCCAACGGCGGTGGTTGAGAACCACCGCCATAGGGAAGCAGAATCTACTTTTCGCGATAATGTCAGTTGCGAAATTCGCGGAAATGAAGTCGTTTGCAGTGAGCGAACAAACGAAGAGGGAAGAGACTCACTGGCGGCTGCGACCGGCATGAGGGCCTGCCGGATGGCCAGCTCCCAGTTGCGAGCGTGGTCCCGGTCCTCTCCGACCATGTACGTGACCCCGGCTGTTCGCAGCTCGAAGCAGTATGAGCCCCGGACGAAGGCCAGGCCGGAGTCCTGCTTGGGCGGCCTCGCGGACTCGATGGCCAGCACCTCCGACAGGGGGATCTCCTGCGGGCAAGTTCGGAAAGGGGCGGCGATCAAGCGCCGTAGTAGCCGACGCCACTACGACGCGGCTCCGACAAGACGCTGCGTTGCGAGTGGGACCCAGACCTTGGAAAGCTCTAAACGCACATACCACATTTTCCGGTGTATAGGCGGCAGATTTCTTCTTAATAAATTTCTGTCGGCGCGCCTTATTTGGCAACGTGACCGGCACGCGCGTTTTTATGTACCTGGCGTTTCTGCGAATACCTTCGAAATTTCTAAAGCTGGGGTGACCAAAAAAAAGGCGCTCCTTTCGGGAACAAACTGCCGGCCACGGCGGACGTCAATAACTGCTAAAAAAACAAGCTAATTAGCGAACTAATCACCTAAAATTTACTAATTGACCTTTGAATCAGTGAAAATAGATATAGTTCCGATTAAAAATTTGTCGAGTGTCATCGAAAAATTCCCAAAGCGGCGAACTTCGGGATGACTCGAAGCGTGTACGAAGCACGGGGGACGCACTAAATGGACCGTTTGTGCAGCAGGTGCAAAGCCGGCAATGCGAAAACAGACAATAAAAATATTGGACATGGTCACTCTTTTTTGTCCCCTCACTCTAGGGTTACCATGTCTCTCCTTGACCAGCTCGCCTGCCTACTTGCTTTAACTTCAATATCACCGCCATTTTCGCAACGCCGGCCTTGCACCTGCAGCATGAGTGGGTAAGTTTAAAGCACCCTTGTGTTTCGAGTCTTCCTAAAATTGACTGATTTAAGAGTTTTTGATGATGCTTAAAGTTTCTAATTGGAACAATATGCTTATTTCACTAGGTAATCAGGAGAGTAATTGGTAAATTTTAGGCAATTAATTTGCTATTTACTGTGTCTGTTGCTATCTCTGGCGTTTTTGTGACTGGATTTGTTACCCAATAAAGGTTTTATTTCTTCTAAGACCATTCAATTTGCAGGGACATTTGAAAGTATTTGCAGAAACATGCATGGACCTTAAAGGAGCACTATAGACCACTTTCTGCAATAGTCTTATTATGGCCCTAACTCAGTCTATGGGCTCCAATCATTCTAAAAACAAAACATTACATTCATGCATGACCGATTCCTCTATTAAAATCGGCCATGCATGAATGTAATGCTGTGTTTTTTAGGATGCTTACAGCCCATAGGTCGAGCTATGACCATAAATAGACTGTTGCAGAAAGTGGTTTAGTTCCCCTTTAACTGTGCAAGATGTAGGCCGTACCAATATTTACACCGAAGGAGGAACGGCAGAGAACACGTCAAAAACTTGCTTTTCCAGCTCTTCGAATGGTTGTCTGAAGCATGGCAGCATAGGCTCATGGATGAGGTGACTCCACTGACCGTACGAGGATGTGCAACTTATGCAAGGGGGAGATTTATATTGTACTGACTTTTCTGTGAAAACAGCTGTTTAGAGGGGAATGCGACTTATAGACCGGAAAATACAGCACAATGTGCATTGAAATGGTACCTCTGGTTAGTGGCCTGTCGTTTGTAACTACGACAAACTGCCCAAGCAGCTTCTGTTGCTGGACAAGAGAACACTCAAATTTTATTGTGTCTCAAAAGGGCACTGAAGCGTAACCCGAGATGGTCTCTTAATGGTGCAAACTCAACATACACTCAACATACACATCAAAAGCCGAATACTGTCAAGACCGGTTATAATAAAGTCGGTTGTAATGAAATAGTGGCTATAACGAAACGGTCATGATTTCCCAATTTCGTTTGCACTTTTTTATTGCATTTGTGTCTGTTTTTAGCGAAGGAAGTTAGGTGGCTCTTGCAGATATAATAAAGAGAAATTTTGTGATAATCTAGAAAAGATTACTACGTCTCAGACTGCTGCACTTTGCTGCCGCGGCTGAGCAGCCACCCAAAACAGGCTGCAGACGATGCTGCAAAGGCCACCTGCTGCACCCTCTGCATCATCATCTGCTCCCCACCCCTCATCTGGGAAGCGGCTTTTCCGTATCGCATGCAGAGAAGCCGTCGTGGTGTGGCAATAGGAGTGTTTAAAGCGCAAGCAACAACGAACCGGCGAAGGTGGCGGAGACAGCCCAGATTTAAGAGAGGGAGCAACTTCAACCATTGAGAACATTTGCAATTTAGTGGCGGACGCCTCCTGGGCAGATTGACGCAAGTATGCCTGCATTCGGTTGTTGCGTAGCCGGTGTGGCGAGAAAACTGGGCGGAGAGGCAGACACATTTGCAGAAGGTTAACGCGTTTGAGTTTAAAGTCCTTGCATGCTGCAACTCGTTTTGCAAACACGACCCACAAATCACGTGGCCCGATCGAGCAGTTATCCCCTCTCATAAATCTAGGCTCTCTATACCGACAAAAGACAAGCCTGAGCGCAAACTCGGTGCCGTGCACGCTTCTTTGTTTGCTTTGTGTTCCCGTGTTGACATTACTGGTCGGTGTGGTAGCTCTTGCGCGAAAGTCTAACTTCGCTCAAGCACCGATTCGGCAAATCATCGCCACTCAATGATAGAGAACCCCGGCACTGTCGGCACCTCGACGGGAACACGAAGGCAATCTCTTTAAAACAAAAGCGTGCCATCCTTGACGACCTGTGCATAAATGTAAAGAATTCCGTCCACCGCTGGCATTCTCCGCGGCGACCATCACAGCAGTCGACACGGTCTGTATGTCTGTACGTAGCTCGCAGGATCTTTTCTCAATCGGAGCTTCTCGCAGTTGGTGAGAAGCGGCTATGGTCTAGCAGAGAGCGCGTGCAGGTAAGCCTTGACCGCTTTTTCCAGGCACGATAAACATGTGCCTGTGACGGCTCGTGTTATTTTTGCTTTTTGTGGGGGTGTTGCTTTTATGAGTTCAGATGTAACGAAGAAGCGGATATAGCGGAGTGATTTTCGATTCCTGTTGACTTCGCTATACCGGTCTAGACAGCATTACAATCCAAAACAGCTTTTTTTTCCTAATTAAAAACCTAAAAATGAACTGTCAAAGAGAGAGCCATACAAGAATAAAAAAAAAAAGCATTCTTTAACTGCAGTCAATGCATTCAGCAGTTGCTAACCATGTTCAGTGGTGTTTGTTTTCTCTTTCATATTTTGCTGGAAAAAGTATCTTTCAAAAACTGCATTAAAAAGAAGAAAAAAAAGAGGGCATAAAGAAGGTAGGGCAGAATCAGAACATTTTTTTCCGCCCGACAAACTTTGATTTTTCTGGCTTCCCCTGGATTTTTTTCTTCCCTTTGGAAAAACTTGGAGATTTTATCGCAACGCACATGTGGGCTACGAGTTGGGCGCCGGTTTGTTTTGGGCTCGATAACGATCGGCAAACATTCGGGTTTGCATTCACAGTCAATTACTGCTCTCACGTCCAGAGCACGGCACATGTCATAAGCGTTCCCAACAAAGCCTCGTGACTGTGACAAACGATGGTTGCATGGCCTGGCGAAGGAATACCCAACAGCTTGTTCTGGCGACAAAATAAGCAGCTAACACCAGTCAATTGTTTTTCTCGTGTTTTCCATAACAATTTTAGTGTGAGAAGTTAAAAACTAATGCATATCTTATATCTTACGAACATCAGTGACTATGTCATACAATATCTAGCAAAAAAAAGATCTCTAGTATTTATATTTATTTTTAACAAGTTGTGCAAGTGTAGTGGAACAACCGGTGCACCCTGTTTCAACATACAATGAACCGCAGAGGACGCTACATGTCAGCGAAGCCAATCCAACGGCGTGTCACATGACCTTCGGAATAGGCACACCGACGTGCACATAGTCCCGTGATATGTTCACAGCGCTGGTTTGACTGGGATGGCTTATCCACCGCGGTCTATCGCAAGGTAAAACGGAGTACAGCAAATTGCGAGATTGTGCTGAAACAAACCCCTTCACCGGCATATCTCCCAGGGCTGTGCACTTAGTGTCTAGTGTTTGTAGAAATCTTACGTGTAGTGGTATTACTTTCTCTGGGTGTCTCTTAACAAGCATTCTGAGAGGGCTCCGCCGTCTTCCGTTTCTTTGTAGGATGCGCAAACAGTTATAACTTGAGCCACTGGCGGCGTCGCTGCAACGCCTCAAAATCTCTTCCGCACTTTCAGGAATGTTAAGGCAAGTTCCGGTTTGTTGACCCTGCAGAAGAAAAACGGCCACCAGAAGGTTTACGTGCCGCCAGGAAACGATTTGTGGATAAGTTGCGCACATTTCGTAATGGGGACGAAACAGTGATAAGTAGAGTTAATACTAAATTTCTAGATTTTGCAAAAAAAAAGAATAAAGTGTTAAAATTTTATTAGTGTAGAGTCCGACAAGCTTGTTGGTGAATGATATTGTAGTGAGTGCGCAGGCGAGCTGGTGGAAATTAACCATTCTGATGTTAGCCTGAGACTGAGGCAGGAAAAGAGGAAGTTTCAAAGTAGAAGAAAAAGGAACAGTCGAGGATACGTCTCTAACACAGCTAAAGACAAGTTTATTCGGTCACCCTCTTATATACACTCCACAATCTTCACCACAGAACCTTTGCGACCTCCAAAGCCAAAAGATAAGAAAGAACTCATCTCTTTCCACCACAATAATCAAACGACCTTGACAATCCTACAAAGCCCCCCCCCCCCCCCCCCTCACCAACACAACCTAGCTCCTCTCTCCCGGAAGACGATCGACCTTCGCGTACATAGCACACCCTCCTCCTCTCCTCCCCGGCCCACAATCCCGAAACAACCCGGCAAACAAAAGATACCAATCCACCTGATCCAAACCAAAGACACAAAGGGGGAAACCACTTACACCCTTTCACAATCAACAACCACTTAACAAAACTCTCAAATCCGCAAGAAGGTTTTTGCACTGCTGCTAAGCTGTAACGACACTTGACTAATGCAGTTGCCCATTGATTTCATTCTTATTGTTTCCTTTACAACCCTTTTTTCTTCTACTTTGAAACTTCCTCTTTTCCTGCCTCAGTCTCAGGCTAACATCAGAATGGTTGTTGGTGAACTTGCTAAAACAATAAAAATAAATAAGTAATAAAAAAAAAGGGACAAAGGCAAACACATAAAAAACTTGGGCATGTCTGCCTTCAACTTTCTTTCTTATTGCTCTAGCATCATTGCGGAAACACAAGAATGAAAAACAAAGGATAAGGATCAAACGTAGCAAACACAGTCACAGTTTTTTAAAACGTTAAAAGTTCATCAGCTCACTTTTCAACGTTATTTCTAACCTAGTGTTCTGTTACCATCGGTACACGGGCAGCTTCCACAACCGAGTTAAAAAATAAATCGGCCTCCCCTGACCTTCCCGTCACATAGGAACTTAGCATGCCAAGTAGATTATAAAACCACTTTTCACACAGGCCAGTAAAAATAGAAAGCATCTTCCGAAGTTCTAGAAAACTAGAAGTCAAGAACTTGAAGGATATTTGACTTGTAATGGAAAACCTTTCACTATATTCACACACCCATAATTTTAATAGAATGTGGTGGACTTCAGAGCATTGCTAGGAATTAACAAACTGCCCTCACTTCTCCAAAAACTAATGTTATGCACAAATTTACAAGTTTAAAATAAATAGCTACTCACTGCAAATTTTTGTGAGCAGTGACGTGTTACTCTGACTGAAATTACCTGAAGAAACGTTGATTCCAGACCATGTACAGAAATTCTTTCCCCCTTTTATCTCGGGGGAAGCAATATCAACTTGAAAGAAAACTTTTCAATCTATGATTTTCACTAATGGGATGTCAATGGTCAGTCTTAACATCCATGGATGTGTTATACAACATCACTAAAATATTTCTCATGCCAACATCAGACTTTTTTGTCCACCACAAATATTAAAAAAAAAAAAAAAAATCTATTGGACATGTTAGTAAGGTTGAGGATCATATCCATGGTTATCAAGTGTGCTCGATAACAAAAATTAAAAATATGAATGAAACAGATGCCGATTTCTACAAAGACCCAGCTTCGACGATCAAAGAACCTGCACTGTACATTTCACAAAATATTTGTGTAGCATGTGTGTGTGTAAGCAGTTTGTGTGCAACCATGTGCATGGGTTTGTGTGTGTCTGAATGCTGGAGAGGAGGTCACCTCCTCTCCAACGTCCACTCTGCTAAAACGAAAAAAAAAGGTGGGAGGAGCTTCCCCTGAACTGTACAAACGCAATTCCTTTCCCTTTTCACCTGCACTCCGAGTGACACCGTAAACTAAGTGCTATAAATACTATCGCCATGCATTGCCACAGGACACATGAGACGGTCCTTTGTGCGGCAAGCCGAAAGCAAGAGAGAAAGCGGTCACACCTTGTAGTACTTGGAGGTGGTGTCGTTCTGGAAGAGAGTGATGGCCTTGGTGTCAAGGCGCCAGTAGTGGCGCCGGCGCATCGAGTCCCTGTCGGTGAAGTGCACCAGCCAGCCCTCCTTGATGAGCTTGGAGCCCCCCTTCCGCTTGGTGTGCTTCACGCTCTGCACTATCCGCATCAGCGGGATGTTGTTGCTCGCCGTCTCGCTGCGCAACGTGCGGGGAAAGAAGCGCCAAGGGTCAAGATGGCCGCGTTAACCGTACCGCAGGTTCTATGACGTTTCAGTCGGACTTTCCGACAGGTTAAGAGTAAAGAGGAAGCTCCTCCCACCTCTTTCAAATTTAGCAGAGTGAACACTTGAGAGGCGTCCTCTTCAGCGTTTGCCCTGCTGAAGTGGAAAAAGGGGGAAGGAGCTTCCACTGGACCCTGAACCTGCCACCAACTGCAGACGTTGCCGCAAACAAGTGCACCACTAAAGGCCGAGTTTTAGAAGGTGAGCACATTGGTAGAATTATGGATTGCCGAAAGAAAAAACATTGCGACGGATACGACGACGCATCTTTTCTGTGTCGTCGTCTTCGTCGACCCCACACTTATTTTTTCAGTGGCACGTAACACTAAAGGCTGATTTGCAAGTTAACGTTCCAGAGTGCCCAAGCGTGTCGTGTTCTCTCGTCCTAAATGGCCATGAGCGAGCGCAGAACATTCGAGCACGCCCAAACACACGTGTGCGAACCACCTTTCACACTCGGGGCCAAATCACACACTTGCGACTGCCTAACACCGTGTGTCTTAAAACCTCTTAAAGGGCAACTCCGGTCCATACTTTCGATTTTGGGATTATGGCTGTTTTTAGTGCAATTAGCGCCCCTGAATTGCAAGGTGTAATTTTTTTCTCGTTATTGTGCGTAGTTTTAAAGATATCGACGTCTCAAAGTTTTGTTTGGGGCGCGGCCGACAAAACCGAAACTAGCCGCTCGAGGTTCCGGCAACACTGGAAATCAGCCGTTATGTGGACGTGACGCCAAGATCGTTCTCGTTCAGCGAGTACGCAGTCCAAGCGGCACCTACCTCTGTTGCGCTAGCCATCTAAAGATAGAAGGTAAGCTGATTTTGTTTTAATTCTGTATACGTGGTAGTTATCCAGGATATGTAGCAAGAGTTAGTGCGTATACCCAAAAGCTAGCGACTGCAAAACCCGTCAACTGATTCAGTGGCGTACTCGGCGGCCGCCGCCGCGCGTACGCTATGCCGTGCCGTACTCGTTGCTTGTATACCCAAAAGCTAGCGACTGGAAAACGAGTGAACTCGTTCGGTGCCGTACTCGGCAGCTGTCGGCGTGCGTGCGGTCTCCCGCACTCGTCGCTAGGCCTAAATTGTCATCGGGGCTCTGTGGATGGAGCGGCGTTGCTCTACGCCGCGCTGCCAGTGACGTACAGTGCTGGCGCTTTCGCGCGGCGGGTCAGTCCCAGACACGAAGCTTTGAGGCTCTCCGGCGCGTTCCGCGACAACCGAACAGACGTGTGTCAAGCTGTAGAAGTCTGCTTTAGAGCGCAGCTCTTAGGGGCCCGTTTCCAGTCTGAGCGGCGTCGCCGTCGGCGTCGGCGTCGCCGTCGGCGTAACCGCGCCCCTCCCTCTCCTCCTCCTCCCCCTCCCCCTCCTCCTCCTCCTCCCCCTCCTACTCCTCCTCCTCCCCTCATTGTGTAGTATGGTCCGGGCGGGTCACGTGACCTCGGGGGGAGAGGGTCACATGACCCGTTTCCAGCCTGTGCGGCGTCGGCGTCGGCGTCGCCCCTCCCCTCCTCCTCCTCCCCCTCCGCTCCTCCTCCTCCCCCCTCCTCCCCCGCCCGGTAAAGGTGCTAAAGGAGAGGGAGGGGGAGCAGGAGGGGAGGAGGACTAGCAGGCATGATCACGAGGGAGGAGGAGGAATATACCCTCCACTCCTCCTCCTCAAGAGCTGCGCTCCAATTCGGCGTTACAGGAAGTTGTAAACGGCTTTCACTTTTTTTTTTCGTTATTTTTTCCTCAGGCGCGTAAAAGCCGAATTTGTAAGCTACGGCACTAATTCACCACATAAGTTCGTCCAGGTAGTGAATCTTTGTACAAATAAAAAAAATCTTGCCGCACTAAAAAAAAAAGTTCTTTGGGCAGTCATTTTCTTCTCAAAGCTAGCAAAAGTTTTTGTGCGTGATAAAGGAAAACAGAACGTTAGCAAGGTGAGAAAACTTTCTTTCCCTTCCACATTCCCAAACCCCACCAACATTTTTTTTTTATTAGAATACATCGGATTTTAAGTTTTGCTTCGTAACTTTTAACTAAAGCAAATGTTTTTTTGTTTATTTTGCATTTTTAAGTATTATATTTACCTCCAGCCGAACTCGGGCAAATTAGAGAGTTGTAACTTACAAATCCGAACTTTCGCGATTTCTTTTGAAGTCCCTTGTGGTATTCACAAGCGCAATGTTAATTAATACTGCTGCGTAACGGGTTCGAACAATTGGGAGGCGAATGTTTATATCGCATGAGCTTCACGCGCCGGCTGTTCGCTAGTAGTCGTTACGGACCTGAATACTACGCACGAGATTGCGTAGTAAACAAGCAGTGATGCAAAGTAGAACATTGTTTTCGTTTTCATTACAAACTTCAGTGTTTGGAGCTACTTAGTGTCTGTACTCTACATGACCACCATTCCCCATTCAAAGGACATTCAATGGAGCTTGAATGCTCAATCTTCAACACTGCACTTGACAATGACTGTTTTATTTATTGATCAGGATACTTTTATCATGTTTACCTTTTCTGTACATGTACGATGGGCAAAGAGCGACGGCACGGCATCCTTTTTAAGCCTCGACCCCTTCACTGACAAGCCACAAGCAACCAAGACCTGTAGGTTTCGTTCGTAACCCTCCGGCGAAAAATGATCGGAGCAGAGCTTCGATCTGGGGGTCGACGTCCAAGGCTTTCCAAAGTTCACTCGTCGAACAGCGTTCACCCACACCTTCTCCAATTTCCGATCCAAAGGAAACTTGTGAAAAAGCACCTCCGGGTTGCGCAGCGGCTTGTTTGAGCAGCTCACAGCGCTTTAAGTTGTACTCTGCATCTTTCGAGGAACAGCTGGGCAGTCTTGGGCGCACCGAGTTGCTCGCTAAAACGGGTCTAGGAGTCCTCACAAGCAAATAAACAAAAGGCTATACCGAAGCTACACGGGCTACAGGTAAAAGCAACGGCTAAACACGCAATTACAAGCCGAAGTAGCGGTAGTAGCGGCACAAGAAGCGCGCGCGACGGCTGCGCCGTGCGCCCGTCCGGAACGGAGGAAAGAAAGAGGACGATGATGACATCACGGCCCAATGTTGCTTTAGCGATCGGCAACTCGCTGGCCACCCGCTAAGGAGCAGCGGCTCGCGGCGGGTCCCGTTTTTATTATCGGCATTAGTTGAGAATGCGGCGTCCCACGGACGTGAAATTTTGGCTGGGGTCGTATTTTGTGTCACTAAAGCGATACCAGTAATTTAATTCATTTTGAGTTTTGGCCGGAGTTGCCCTTTAAGATACCTACCTTACATAGAACGTTTTCAGTTTCCACATATTCCCCATTTTTTTTGCATGTCGCTCTTTCTTTCTCGGCTCGAAAAACATTTGACAATGTCGCAAACGATAGTTTCCCGTAAACGGTGCGTACATTCATTCTCGCAAATATCGCAAAACCGTCGCCCTTGCGAAATGCGGTTGCGGGGTGACATCGCACATGCACCAGGGTGTTGGCACATTCTTTTGTCGCGAGATATCACAGGAGCTCGGTCCTAAGCAAACCCGAGTGTGCAAATGGGCCTTTAAACGTCTGCCCAGCCACACTCAAGCACAAACGTGCGGACCGGCCCTTACGCAACAACCGTTTTCGGCTGAGAAAAACCGAGGAAACGTCAACGGGGCCGCAGAGAATGCGAGGAGTGCAGTCCTCACTTGAGCAGCGCCTTGGGCTCGTCTTCCTGACTGTCTGGTCCGGCAGCCCTGTCCCTCTCCTGCGACAGGTCGCTCTCGTTGTCCGACTCGTCCTCCACGTTCTCCCGTTCCCCGTTGTTCTCCAGCTCCGAGCTTTCCGAGTTCTCTTGAGCTGCGGATTCGGACACGGAAGTGCCAGCGTCATTCGCAGGCTCGCTCGACGCCGGCTAAAACATTACGGTCGCCAGACAATGACGCACGAGCGTGGAATGCGTGAGCAAAAACTGCGTTGTGCCGCGCCGCGTCATGGCGTAACCATAGTGAATGTTGCCGACGCTTTGACGTGGCGACGCACCGTTCGGCCGCATCATGGCGTCGGCAGCGGTTGCTATGGTTACACTGCTTGGCTGTGCAGTGAGACAAAAGTTTCTCTTACATGTGTTACACGCTTAAGAACTCGAAAAGAAACCTCCTGAAAGCTTAAAAGACAACAAAAAAAACCCCACTTATCTCAATACTTCATATACAGCTGATTGAAGAGGAATGTGTGCGAATTTCTGTTGAGCTGTTTCTATATGTTTAACCAGTTTCGCCTGTTTGGCTTTCGGGGTTGTTGCCACCACGGTTCATATAACCGCATGACCGCGTGATGTGACATCAGGTCGTGCGACACTAGCGCCACAGTGTCATGCGACGTCTGTAAGAATGTAACTGTGTCTGTAACTTGATCCCATTTCAGGTCAGGCAATAATAACTGTAACACAGTAAGATTTTCAGAGTAACTTTCTAAGTTTTGAACATAAGCAGATGCCAGGAAACCTTTTCAACAAGTGCCAACAATGGAGTCTTTGTCTAGAAAAAAGAAAGAAAACTACTTTCGCATTTAAGTAAAGACACAGGACCAGTCCAAGGTACAATCACCTACGGGGCCACTAGTTGCACAATGTGTGGATCAAACTCTCAGGAAGGATTAAATGTTGGTGTGAGGACTGACCTTTCCGGAAAATCTAAGTAATAACCGGAAAACCAGTTATTACTTCCCGCTTAATGCATTTTTTCTGGACACCCTAGCATCCTCATAAAATTACAAAAACGTCGTAATAACCAATTCCACCTTTTTAACTCCCCGCTACAGCTTACCATTTCCGAGTGGAACTCTCTGCCCCATAAATTGTGAAAATTACAGATGTAGCAAAACTCAGAACATCATCTGAATTATTACTTCATCGTATTCAAGAATGAGGCATACGTACCTGTGAATTTATTTGTATCGTATCTATCAATATTGCTATTGTTTGTCTATTTTTTTAGATGAATACAACTCCTTTTTTTGTGTGTAGTTAGTGTATTATTGCATGTTGTATTTTGTATCATCAAATTTTGTATTCCCCCCTCATATAATGCCCTATCCAAACAACTTAAGGTATGTTTAAAAAAAAAGAAAAAAATCCAACGTTAATGTGAGAGTTTGTCTTTGCAGAAAGAGCCATTGTCAATGTGAGGATTGAACTTTCCACACACAGCAAATGACAATGTGAAAATCAATCTCTACAGAACAATTGAATCTCAACGTGAGGATCAAACTGTACAGATTAACTGAACCTCGACGTGAAGACTGAACTTCGCTTACGTCGGAAGGAAGTCGAAACAACGACAAAAGGAAGTCACAACGACGTCGGAAGAAAGTAAAAGAAGGACTCACAAGACTCTCCCCACTCCTTGGGGGCCTCCCCCGTGCAGTCCATGGGAATCTTGTCCATGCAGCGCTTGTGGACATTGAACTTGCAGTCTGCCAGTCAGGGTAAGAGAGACCACATCCAAGTCAAACAGAGCTACCCTTCGCCCTTCAGCTTTGTGGGGGACACAACAGTCCTTTATGCAAGCGTCATGTAAACCAACAGCCGGCAACAGCGTTGTTGATGGACGGGTATGAAAGAATTACGAGAGTATTCGCACCAGTAGCAAAGTGCATGGAAACTCTTCACAAAGGTGTCTTTAGGCGGTTCATTTATCATACTCAAATTTAATGAGTGTAGGTTCTAGGGCAGAAAAAAAAATTAAGCCTAAAAAAACCTGCTTTTTTTTTCTATGCGCAGGAAAGAAAGCTGCAAAAACATCCTGGTTGACGCTGCTGCCCAGAGATGGTGCCACGCATGTTCGGATCTGCTGGATGCGCTTTCGGGTATTCATCTCAAAGAATCTTTCACAACTCTTTGCTTTACGTTGTGCCGTCTGTGGTAGCGGCGTTAGCCAGAAGAATTCTGCCGTTTTTCTCCCTCTAGGTAAGAAAAAAAAAAAACAGGTTTTCTTAGGCTTAACTTTTTTCCCTCGAGCCTATGCTCGTAAAATTTGAGCATGATAAACAAAGCACCTTTGTGTAAAGTTTCAATGCACTCTGTTCATTGGTTTAATTATAAGACTTTTTCTACGCTTGAACTGTGTTCGAGAACACCCCATAGAAAAGAAAAAGAAGAGATGGGGGGAAAGAGGAGAAAAACACAATGACGGACAGCGGTACTGCATTAAAGTGGCATGAACTTGATGGAGGGAAGAGGTAATGAAAAGTAATAAGCTAATCCGAAATACACAGGCTGTGACTCTTATTGTATAAATGAATTGGTGATTATGAAAAGTGTACTGGCAAAAGAAAGCAATTCATGATATTACATTCAGTGTTTTTATTTGTGACCAGCCCACTGTCTAGTAAATCTCGCATGTCTTTTAGCCGAATTGTGAATTTGACGCCATCTTTCCTATGCACTTTGGTGGGATTGCAAGAGCGTTACGCATAGCAAAGTGATCCACAGTCGTATTAATGACCCTAATAACGCGGCACAAACACTACACGGCTTGCACATGACGCCCTCGCACCGTTCTGGCGGTCGTTCCCACCCATTTCTCGCGGGAGAACGAACTTGTTAGCGTGAAATGTACGCTGTACAAGGCGTGCACTTAGTTAGCAGCACAGTCACCGCAACAGCCCCAGATGCGACGTTAATACGTGACCATATACCGTAATATCCCGAAAGATGGCCCACCTAAAATCGAGAGCAAATAAGACGAATATAAGGAGTGGGCTAACTTTCGGCATACAATTGAGAAACATAAAAAAAAACACCACTTTTAGATCACGTTTTCCTGCCAGACTCATTATCGCGGCGTAAGACAACGAAGCAAAGACGACTGCACTTCCCAGTCGGCAATGTTTGCTTATATCTTGCCATAGCTAACTAGCCACATTTACGCCGAAGTTATCATTGATCCGAACACTATGACTTCTAGGAGTGGCTACTTTTCGGTGTTTAAAATAAATAGCAAATCAAGCCAAAAATAGGGGGCAGGTTATCTTTTGGGGGTGGGGCACCTCTTGGGGTATTATGGTATTCATTTTATTAGATGAAATAAGCAAAGAATTTGCAATTTTGTATCAAATTCGATAGCAGACGCTGTAGTCACTGACAGGAAGAGAACGGCATCGTGCGCCTTTCGAATGCTCGGCTTCCGGCATGTACTCTATCCCCTCTGCCGTGCTTTAACTGTGCATGCATTATCGAAGGCAAGAAGCTCGTGCTGGAGGCTTGACAATGAAAGAACTTCCACGCTGTTCTTACCCGATCAAAGACAATGGAGCGCACATGCTGCCTGCCCTCCATTAGCCACCTATGCGACCCCCCCCCGCCCCGGAGTCGGCCATTTGCAGACGAAACGCAGACGGGGAGAGGAGAGGCACCTTTGCACTGCATGCCCTGGCGGAAGATGCCCTTGAGCAGCCGCTTGCAATGCTGGCACACGGTCGGCTTGGCATACGAGTGGACCACAAACGTGTGCGGGATGCGGATGCGTCCCGCCAGTTCCCGGTCCACCCAGGCAGGACGTCCCATGTTGAGCGACGGGGAGCGCTTCTCCCTAGCCGGGGACGTGGCCAGCAACTGGGGAATAAAGTGGGGAAGCTGTCAGTGCGATTTGTCCCCAGAACGAGACTCGTTAAGGATGTGCACTGGGGAGAAAGGGGACATTGTCGACACAATGTCTCCAGAGTCTCGTCTTTCCCACAGAATGAGATTCTTCTGGGACGAGTGGTGGGGAAAATGGGGACATCAACATGATTTGTCCCCAGAATGAAGCTTGTTCGAGACGTGTGCTGGGGAAAAATGGCACGCCGTCAACATGCTTTCTGACCCCAGATTGAGATCCGTTTGAGCCAAGTGTGTCCATGCTCGTCAACACACTCGGCAAACCAGTGAGGACTTGCAGAGAGTCTGTGGTTTAGAGCACAGATTTTCAGACAGGGTTTCTATACTTTATCTCACCTTAAGTCTACACGCAGCCGGCGCTACGAGCTAATCCAATCAAACAGTATCAAAAGCGCACCAATATGGCGTTCGTCATGTCTCTGTGCGCGTTTCATTATCACCAAAGCAATCATGTACAAGGAAGGCCCAGTGACTTGCACTTTTGACACTGTTTGATTGGTCCCATGAGCTCGTAGTGTCAGCTGCGTCTCGATTAAAGGTGAAACAAGGTGTAACCCAAGGGTTTCTTAGTGTGCCCCGAGGGACTTTCCGAGCACCCAAAATAAGCCTGATGATTCCTGCACCTAAGCAAAGCGTTTTTTAGTTAAAGCACTATTTTAGCAGATGTGAGCCATCCATTGGTCTGTAGCTATGAGCAGAACACTCCCAGTATGTGCATTATTGTTTACAAGGTCTGCAAGCTTCTGGGGTTCTTTACTGCATCAAGGCCGAGGTCGGGAGGAATTCCTTGGTTACCATTCGAAGGCAGATTGAAAAGTGTTTAAACCTCTGGTTTAGAGCACAGGTTATCAAACATTTCCCTCCTGCTCGATAGGAAAAGAACAACCCTTCCCGGTCTTGGCACTAAGGTAATAAAGCAATGCAGAGGCCTACAGAGCTTCTAAACAGTAGTGTACATACTAGCGAGGGCTTGACACATCAATAGGCACCATAGGCACTGATCTTCTCCAATAGTGCTTAAACTGGAAAGATGTTTCGCTTAGGAGGAAGGAACGGTGAGTAATGTTGGGAGTTCTGGGAACAACCGAGGGTACCCCAGGGAGCGCCTGGGTCCCCTGCAACCCAGTTTAAGAAACCATGATTTATATTTAACAAAAAAGTTGACTTAAGGATCAGTTCTTCTAGGCGGCATGCATTCGACGAGCCATTCAACACGTTTGGGCAGAAACATTGCATCCTCCTGCGTTGCAACGTCTGATCCAAGTCCCAAGAACTACCGGCGTTATGACGCAACGCTGTGTGGATAAAAAAAAAAAAGAGGAAAGGTTCGCCAAGAGACTTTGCTTCTCCGTCGGCCCAAGGTAGCCACGTCTCGGCAAAATGCTGGCTGCCACTCTGAGGTATTCGGGAGCTTCATACTCAAGTCCCTCTCACCGGCTTCAACTACCTCGGTGCTTTATTCGAACAGCTAGTTGTTTGTGTCCTCGAAATATTCTGAAACTCGACGTGGTCTGCTTCATCCTGTTTGCAGGTTACGAAAAGCGAGACAGGCTTCCTCAGGCGAAGCACTTTAGCAGAGCAGACGCCAAGTGGAAAGAGTGGATGGCCTTGCGTGAGGAAGCCTGTTCCGCATTTCGTAGCCTGCAACGGGGTATAGTGAGCCACGGATGCAACAGCGATTTCGACCCAGCAGGATGTTACGAAGAAAAAGCGAAGCCACCAAGACAGAGTGCCCCACAGTGAGAATGAAGAAGTTCTCACAGCTCGGAGAATGTCTAAGCAACACGCGGGAATTTCGCATTTTATACCCCGGACAGCAAAGGACAACGAAGACACAAGCTGGAAAGCAAAGCATGCAACGTTTATGTAAGCAGCATCTAGCTTCATCTGCAATGCATGTCTCAAGGATACTAAACAAAACGCTTCATAAACGTGCCTCTTTGAGGGGGGCACAAATTGCGACGATCCCGGGAACAAGCTTGGGATGCGGCGCATCTCAGGTAAGCTTTTCGCTCCAAAATTCAATCCCATCTCTGAAAAGCAGGCATGATCTTTCGTGGGCCCTGCCACCCAATGCAGGACCGATTCTTTACATGGAAAGCTTATGCAAGTTTCGTAATTTGCTAGAATCCTTCCGACGGCCGCAACACCTGGAACACCATGTAAGCCGCGGGGAACTACGCATGCAGGCATGTTTTTTGTTAAAACGTAAGAACCGCCTGGTTTTAGAGCAGATCTCATAGGTCTATCCGTCTACATATCACAAATGTTCAAGGCAGAAGCGGGGTTAAACAATGCATTCTGCGCGGCTAGAAAAACATAGAAGTAAACTTACCTCAGCAAACAATCAGAGTTACTTTAATTTTACAGAAAGCACTGGCAGGCGGCTCACAGTCTAAATTTTTTTCCCTTATGTAATGCACAACTGTTCAGATGTTATTTGAATTAACAATATTCAAATGCTTTCTTTTGCAGAGGCTAGTTAGCAGTGCTTTGCCTAAGTCATCCTGGAATTTAGATCAGTATTATTCACAAATTCTTTCAGTGGGATTGCCAACATATAAATTTTTTCCTGAGTATAGTTCCCCCAGTTAGGTTCACTATCACATTAAAAAATTAAAAAATAGCATCTAACTAGTTGCCTTATTGTGGCGTGAGACACTCAGAAAACAACTAACATGGTCTACGACCAGGTCTAAAAATTTGTGAGGCCCGCACTGCATGCCCTGCTGAAATAATTTCTTGTAGTACTACGCAAGCTAAAACCAAAAGGGGTTTTCTTCAGCAAGTCAGTAACACTTGACACGAGTCCATAATCCCAAATAGAAAGGAAGACACAAATGTACTTCAAACATGGTTTCGAGAAGCTGCTTTATTGAAAAAAGGCCCTTTTGAATGAGAAATTTTTTTATCACTGGAATCTGAGGGGCTACCGGATGCTATGGTGCCATATCGCAGGACTGCCTTCAACCGAGTTCTGTGATTCAAGCCCCTTAAAACTTTGATAACTTGAATTTCAAGGATTCTGACCATGTGTAGGCTTAAATTTTGTTTACAGATAGCAACAGTATTACTTTAAAATTTGTCAATATAAATGCTGCAAGGATAGCCGAAATAGGTTTGAATAGTGAACTAATTTTTTCCCTCTATTTTTTCACAAGTGGAAAAAATTAGACTTGCTGCAAACCCTCTCTTCATTCTTCCCCAACTAGGGAAGAACAAGCATAAAAATGGGACCTGCTGCTGACCTACCCTGTGCCTATTTTCCCCAAATGAAAGAAAAAGGTCCCTGCACCAAGTCTTTTTCATGCTATTTTATGTGAAAAACCAGGAAATGCTACCAACCCATTTCCGTTCCTGTTCTAGGCAGAAAAAAAAAGGGACTTGGTAACATACTTTTCCCTTCCCCATGTAAAAAAAAAAAAGAAAAAAACCTGCTGCCAGTTTATTTTTATTTATATACTTCCTCAGGTGGGGAAAAATGTCAAATGCTGCCAACCCACTTCTGTGCTCGACTTCCCCAGGTGGGGAAAACTGGGAACAGCTGCCAAAACATTTCTCATCCCATTCTTCACCAAGTATAAAAAACTAGGTTTGCTGAAAACACCCGTCCCCCATTCTCTTCCAAAAAAAAATGAGGCTTGCTCCCTTCCTTCCTCAAGTACAAAAAATGTAAACATGTTGCAAACCTCTCCCTATTTTTTTTAAGTGGAAAAAATTGGATCTGCTGCCAACACACTTGCCTCCATCCCTCTCCAAGCAAGAAAAAACGGGACTTGCTGCCAAGACATTTCTCTGCCCTTTCTTCCCCTAGAGTGAAAAAAGGACCTGCTGCCAACCTATTTTCATCCCCAATCTTTTCTAAATAGAAAAAAGTGGACTGGCTGCATATGCCTCTCCCCATCGTTCCCAAGTGACCAGAAATAGGGCCAGCTTCCTTTCTTCCTCAGGTACAAAAATTAAACATGATGTTACCCTGTCTCTGTTTTTCCCCGAATGGGAAAAAATAAGACCTACTGTCAACGGATTTCTATATCCATTCTTACCCAGATAGGAAAAACATACCTGCGCCAACCAATTTCCCTTTCCATTCTTCCCCCACAAAAAAAGATGGGCCTAATGCAAACCCCTTTCCAGATCCTTCCCCAAGTGAGGGGCAATAGGGTCTGCTTCCTTTCTTCCTCAAGCATAAAAAATAAGAAATTTTGCTAACTTGCCTTCCCGTTTTTCCCCAAAAGTGGGAAAAAAAGGGACCTGTCGTCAACCACTTCTATCTCAATTCTTTCCTCAATGGGGAAAAAAGGGCTTGCCACCAACTCATTTCCCCCAATTCTTTCCAAAGTAGAAAAGAAGTGGGCCCACTCCAAACTCCTCTCCACATTTTCCAGGTGAGAAGGAATAAGGCCCACTCCCCTACTTCCTCAAGCATAAAATATCAGACATGTTGTACCCTCTTTCCCAACCTTTTTCCAAAGGGGGAAAAATGCTGCTCCTGTCTTATACTTCTGTTCTTCCCCAGGTGGGTAAAAATGGGACTTACTATTAACCTATTTCCCCTCCCTGTTGTTCTCCAAGTAAAAAAAAATTGAGCCTGCTGCAATCCCCTCCCCCCAGGCAGGTAAAAATGGGACTTACTATTAACCCATTTCCCCTCCCTGTTGTTCTTTAAGTAAAAAATATTGGGCCTGCTGCAATCCCCGCCCACCATTCTTTCAAAGTGAAAAATAACAGGGCCTGCTCCCTTTCTTCCTGAAGAACAAAAACATAAGACATGTTGCTAACCTCTCTGCTCATTTCTCCCCAAGTGGGGAAAAATATGGGACCTGCTGCCCACTGATCTCCCTTCCCGTTTGTCCCCAAGTGGGAGGGATGAACCTGCTGCCCTCCGAGTATTTTCCCTTTGCCTTCAGCTTCCCGAGACCGTGCTCTGAGCCAATCAAGAAGGAGCGCATGATTGGACAGGCACCGAATTGTGGTCGTCGCTGAAGGTGGCAGCGCTGGAAGCGGTCCTCTGCACGGCTTCCGTGGGGCTCCGAGGGTACATCGAAGTGGACGACCGCCGGCGACGTGCGTGGCTGCAGTTGTTGGGGATCTTGTAGGCACACCGCTTGTGAAAGTTGAGCCCACACCCTGCACAGACAAGACAACTGATCAGGATCAGTTTGACCTATCATTTTCAAGCTTCTATGTTTGCATTTCCATGAATGTGACTGTTATGCATCGAATCAAGATGGGACCAATCACACAGATCTTATCTTTGTTTCTCTTCCTGTTTCACCCAATCATAGTGGTCCCATCAAGATTTGATGAGCCACTGTTGTGACCATGTAAACACAGCCTATGAGGTGGACAAGAGAATAGATGTGCTCTTGTAAAATGAAACTCTCAGACTGCTGTGGAGAAATCTTCAGTTGCCCCAAAAAAGAACTTGTGCTCTTGGCATTCGCAGAAAAAAAAAATGGTTAGTAAGGTTACATATTTTATCGAGAACCATTCATGCATTGAAAAGACAAACAGGTACTTTTCTCACAGTGAGATGTCAAGTTATGGCTCAGATTTAAAGCGCACATGAGCATGAAAAGATCCTTTAGTTAGGGGTAAAGGTGACCAAGAAACTTTGGAGACTCCAAGGTGCCTAGAGAAAGTTTGGGGAACTCCGAAGGAATCCCCTAAGATACTTCAAGGAACCCACTAGGTTTCCAGGAAGTCAAGTTTAGCACCCTTACCCTAAAATATTATTTCTGCATCATCATATGGGTGTACCACAATAAGCAGCCATCTCAGAAGGTGTGGAGAAAAAAAATTAGAACCATAAAGGGGCAAGCTAAAATTTGTTTCAAAAGCATATTTTCACTGTCGGCATTTCGTACCAAAACTCGAAAGTGCAACATTTGACATGGAATAAACACAGCTTGTTCCTCGATAGGACCTTTCTATGATTGGCGATATCCATCATTCGTTCTGCTGAAGTGCAAGGGGGGAAGCTTACTGGAAGGAGCCTGCCCTCTCATTCGAAACCTGGCAACAAACTACAGGGACCCAACTATTTAATGACTAGTCCAAAAACGGACCGAACGAGGAGAGAAGTCCAGCACCAACCTTCGCACTTGAGTCCCTGCCGGACCAGCCCGAAGAGCATCTCCCCGCAGAAGTCGCAGAAGGTGGGCGTCTTGTAAGAGTGGACCGTGAGCGAGTGTGGCCGGATTTGCACGTCGTCGCTTGGGTTGTTTGCTGGATGGGAGGAAGGGTGAAAGAAACAGCTGGGTCAGCATGGATGCTGGAAACAATGAAGGAGCGTGGATGACCTTAGTCTGTTCCCTACTATGTTTGGTTTCCCAGGTGAAAATCAGTTCACTTGCAGCTGGATTATGGAACTGGTCCTAGCTGGATACAGCTGGATTGTCTCATTCCCAGCTGGATTGTCTCATTTCCATCTGGATTTAGCTGGATTGTCCCATCTCCATCTGGATTTATCTGGATTGTGCCACTTCTATCTGAATCCTGTCGGAGTGTCTCATTTCCATACAAACTGTTCTAAAGTAGCAATTTGAGCTAGTTGGTAAATCGACATGTAAAACATGTGCACTGTTTTACCATGCCCATCTGGACTGCCTCATTCCCAGCAGGATGTCTCATTTTTATCTGGATTCAGCTAATTGTCTCATTTCCATCTGGATTCAGTTAGATGGTCTCATTTCCAACTGGATCCAGCTGGATTGTGGCATTTCCATCTGGATCCAGTTGGATTGCCTCACTTCCATCTGGTCTGTCTTAGAGTCACTGAATGTTCCCAGGGTATCAAACCCCCCAAGCTTCATTTCAGGACCGAGTCACGGCATATTCCGACAGTGCGCGACTTGCTCTTCGCTGTCTCGTCTTCCTCTCTCGCCTTGAAAAAGATTTAAAAAACGCAACACCAGCGCAACTGGAGCGAGCAAGAGAGGTGGAAATCTTCTTTGGCGAACCAGATTAGCGGCTACTTGATATAAGAAAACTAGAAAAAATATTGCACCTTCCATTCGATCCCGACTCATTGATGCCCATGAGCTCCCACCTGTGCGTACCCCCATAGCCGTGGTAACGCAAAAACTTTTTAAATACACTTCTTTTTGTCAACCCACAAGATTGCCAAATGATACCTTCCGCCACAGTCTAAACCAGCCAATCAGAACTTGATTCTGCGAGAATGACTTCTGGTAAGAGTACTGAATGGAATTCAAAACTCTGGGAACATTCAGTGACTCTAGTCTGTCTCAACACCAGCTTCATTGTGTCATTTCCATCTGGATCCAGTTAGATTGCCTCATTTCTATCCAGTCTGTCTCAACCCGTTGGATTGTCTCATTTCCATCTGGATCAAGCTAGACTGTGTCACTTCCATCTGGACCCAGTTAGATTATCTCATTTCCATCTGGATCCATCTCGATTTGTGTCATTTACATCTGGATCCAGTTAGATTATCTCATTTCCATCTGGATCCAGCTGGTTTGTGTCATTTCCATCTGGATCAGTTAGAATGTCCCATTTCCATCTGGATCCAGCTGGGTTATGTCTGTTCCATCTGGATCCAGCTGAATTGTCTCATTTCCATCAGGATTAAGCTGGATTGCCTCATTCCCAGCTGAAATATCTCATTTCCTTCTGGGTCCAGATGAATTGTGTCATTCCCATTTGTATCCAAATGGATTATCACACTTTCACCTCGATTGTCTCATTTCCAGTTGGAGCCAACTATATTGTCTCATTCCCAGCTGGATTGCCTCACTTTGAACTAGATAATTTCATACATTTGATTTATTTGACCCTCAACTTCTAACAGGGGTATTCATAAGAAAAGGGGACAAATTTTAAAAAAAGAGACACTATAAAATATAGACTAGGTTACATTTTTAACATATACAAACATGACATTAAATGACATGGGGATTGGCAACGGCGGCTCGGGAAGTAACAACTGGGATGCAAACAATGTGCTCAGGAAGATAATTTCGGTCGGAGACAGCCAATTGTAATTAAGACATCTTGAAATGATTAGCTCTAGGTGTAACCAGTTAAGTTTTGAGTGGGATCCGTGCAAGGGGAGATATACAAAGTAGTACAGCACAATCCACTAATAACAATACCAGATATAACGATCAGTTTCTAGAGTTTCTAGATTAGAAATGCTCAGTTTCTAGTCTAGATACAATGAAAGTCGATTAAAACAATCAAATTTTTGGGTTTTCCTACTAATGTTGTAAGTGGATTGCACTGTAGTATTCTGAGAGACAGCCCACTTAATATTAAGAGCAGATCGGGTGAAAGTAAGGAGTAGGCGCTCACTTTCGATGTGCGATAATAAAAGATTGATAAAACAAAAAAGCCAGCTCTAGATTTTGCAATTTGCTAAGTAACACCATTTCTGCCAAGGTCACCATTGGCCAGGGCTCTGCAATTACTAAAAATGAGCTATCTTTCGGTGTTTTTGAAAAAAAATCGCAAGTCATCACAAAAATAGGGGTGGGCTATATTTGGGGGGGTGGGCCATCTATCGGGATATTACGGTAATATAATTTGTGTAACCGTACGGGGAGTGTAATATTTTTTTTCAGTGTTTCAACAGAGGGAGGATTAGTCAAGCTTTCAATGCAGTAATACTGGTAGTAGGCACGTGATTACAAAAGATGAAGCGAGTGGCCTGGTCTTGAACAGCTTCTAGTTTTTCTTCTAGGCATAACGAATGGGTACGGATGGACGTTCCAAACTAGTGAGGCATATCCAGCTGGGTCGTCTCATTTCCAGCTGGACTGTCTCATTTCCAGCTGTACTGCATCTCTTCTAGCTTGATCAAGCTAGTTCGGATCGGAGATCTTAATGACCCTTACCCGAGACGACAACCTCCACCAGGGTGCCCTCCGCCACGTCGGAAGCCGCGTTGATGGGCAGGAGGATGTTTTCGTTGTTGTAGTCGTGCCGGAAGAGCAGCAGGCGCTCGCTCAGCCGATTTAGGCCGTGCTCCGGGAACTGCAAAAATACCGGATCCTGGTAACATGTCTCCGATCATCGGTGACGAATAAAGCGTTCATGTTTTCCATACGATCAGGACATAATATGTGTAGGGATGCCGCAAACTTTTTTTGAATCAAAGTTACGATGATAGAATCAAGCGGTTCGAAAAATTTTTTTTAATTGTCTACATCGTAAAATTCGACGGAAGTCGAATTTTCGAACTTGTTGAGCTAAGAAGTTCAACGTTTTTCGAACCGTCAAACTTATTACGCTAAAAAATTCTATCTTTTTCTAACTTTCGAACTTATTGCGTTGCAAAGTTCGATGCTTGTCGAACTTCCGAACTTGAGTGACCAAAAAATTCGATGAATTTCGAACTTTCAAACTTATTTATCAAGAGAATTCGAAAAGTTTCAAACTTTCGAATCCTGAAAAGTCAGAAGTTCGACAAACTTAGAACTTTTAGGGTAAAAGTTCGACGTTCGTCAAACTTCGAAAGACCGGCGGATGGTTTTATTTGAATTCAAGTAGTGAGTAAATTCGTAATATATTTTTTTTCGTAAACTTTTACACGCGGTGCCGCTTTCCTAACGAAAGACAATGCCGTTTGTTTCAATGTTCTGGCATGCTTAGTTTTAAAGAAATAAATTCCCGAAGGGGCGAGGAAAGACGACGGGTTTTTTTTATGATTATCGTTTCTGCCAGATTTGAAGTGCGCTGTAGCCGAAGCTATTTATGGTAGAGATGTTATACTTTTTTAAGAAGGATCTATGTATAGCCTAGGTAAGTGCTCTCTTAAGATGTGATTATTGTTTTTCAACGTGAGTTTTGAAGAAATGTCCAAACATGTATCTACATGCAATTATGTCCTAAACTTGATATTTATTTTCGTCTAAGTTGTTCGAGGTATCGCATTTAAATTAACACCACAAACAGCACATATCATTGCCATCTGCAGAATAAAAAATAATGTATTTATTGTTTTTTCACGTTAAGGAATAAATTAAGTCATGGGAGAAGATTTCTAATATTGTTCAAGTCCAGCACGTCATTAAAAGAAAATATTTTTTTTTTCGCTTCACGTTCCTGGGACGTGTTTGTTTTAGCCTGTACACATTTTGGTAAAAGAAACTTGTTTCGAAGTTCTAAACCTCTGAATATGCAAGAATACAACACTTACAGTGAATTCTTGATAGTTTTTTTTTTCTCCAGCTTTTTATCTCCGCATTTTTTTTTTTTTTTTAACTATTGGCACAGGTATTTAGGTCGAAAAGACATAGCTTTGAACTTCCGAACCACTAAGCATGTGACGAGTAGTGCCTCCTGACAACGAGTTTCTAACAATGACCATCTATGCAATCTTTTATGCAGTGAAGAGCGACTGTAGCTATACATACGCATAAATAATTTCAGATTAAAATAAGCTCGACCACGCCCTCTTTCCCCGTATTGTTTTCATTGACAGTCCGAAATATCTGGAAGGGGGGAAAGAGAAGTGAAGCCGCGGCCCCCCCCCCCCCGGCTACCCTCTTTCCCCCCCGTTTTTCCTCTTCCGACGCCACTTGTATGGCAGAACACTCCTCGACCTCGAGTTGTGTCGGCTTTTTGTGAGGCGATTCCTCCGTCCCAGAAAATAAACCCCCAGGACAATTACAAACTTAACTTACTATATGCCAGCGTCACTCGGGCGGCGTTCGATCGGTTTACTACCAGCGTGCAAGGGGTGGCGAGGCAGTTTGCCAGGTCGCTTCAAGGTTTTTCTGAGCCTCAACATCCTGCTCACCCCTCGCCAATTCGAACTGAATGAGTCTTGTAAAACAGTGTGTTCGTGTGATCACTACTGCAGGTTAAAGGGACACTGACAGGGTATTTATGCTCGCCGAGGTTTTTAGTTGTACGTGACATATGAGAGCTCAACTACCCAGAACAGAATTTACGGCTCGAAGTTCGGTTTCTTTCCGCCCGAAAACCGCCGATCAAGAACTGGCCGGTTCGAGTCTCGCTCACTCTCTTTTCCGTGGTCACGGGCCGTTTTCTAAGGTATCGATGCGACCACCAAATTTAATCAAAGTCGTGGGTCACTGAAGGCACACACTCAATATTAAAAATAAAAAAAAATATGAAACCCATTTTTTGTGGCTTCTAAAAAGCTGCAAATACGTTGATTGAAAAAAAAGTTCCACAGACAACCGGAAGCAATCTGTGCGTGCGTCGTTTCGCCAACGAGGTAGAGGGGCTTAGAGTGATAAACCGGAAGTTCGGAAGTGGCACCCCCCCGGTTGCCGCCATGTTTTACGCAAATGTGACCACTCGTCACGTGACCTGACAAGAGCCGTGACGTCGCAGGTAAGATGGCAGCGCCCAGAGCTGGCGGATGCGAGTTTGTTCGGTGCGGCGGCAGCCGTGATGTGCAGCGGTTTTCCGACGATTTCGGGCTTTTTCGTGCTCGCTGACGCAGGTATAATGTGAAAATATGAAAGAATGAGACTTTATACCCTTTTTGCGCAAGATCGCTCTGGATCATCTGGATATTAACACCTGTGAGACAGCCGTATCCCCGTACCGGTGCTCGGTTTGGGATCTGTTCGAGGATCGATAGAACTTTGAGTGCTTTTAGCATAAAATTTTCGCATTCTCTTAGCTTTGTTTTGAACGTTGGAATGTTTAAGAATCGACGCGAAAGGTATACGTCGCGTTAGGGACTAGGAGAAGCTGTTTCAGGCCTGCGTCACCGAATAACCATAGCAACCTTTAGTGAGGAAGTTCCTGCGATCCTGCCCTTTGTGCTAATCGACGATTCTACATTCAATCGTTTTTCTTCCTTTTATGGTGAGTGCGAAGTGCACACTTATTTTCAGCTACGAGGATGACGTTTTATTGAGTGTGGGGATGAATAAATCGTTGCAGGCACCTGCTTCAAAGCTATTCGACTTGCAATAACAACAACTGTTTTTGTGTCTGCATAGATTAACTGCACCTTTTTCTCTTTCGTAGGATTTATTGCAGCAATACTTTTTTCATCAAAACTGCATTGTATTAGTCAGTCAATTATTTACTTGGTCTAATTACCTGGATAAGATGATTCATATTTGTGTTCACCCCTTGCCTGAAGAGCAGTCTTGTTGAAAAATGTTGACCATTCCTTTCGGTCTCTTCAATAGCCTTCTTTGAAAAGTGTGGGTTGCCTATACTTCGTATCATTGTAACCTGGAAAAGGGCAACCGCCACAGCCCCCTCGAGCCAATCAGAGAGACAAAGCGAAGGTGTGTGACAAATCTGTGCAAACGAGCACTCTGAATGACATGTTGTCATGTGCCTTTCTCCAACGTACATATTGGCTCACCGAGACTGTAGCCTTTGCTGTTTGCCAAATTGTGATGAAATGAATTACAGTAGCTACTACTCTAATTACCCCAGGCTTTCATACTTTGGACACTAGTTCGACAAGAATGTTATGTCCGCCATCACTGTGAACTCGGCTCAGCGCCTATTGGACTTGAATGCTACATTAGCATTCGACGTGAGCTGGGGCCCATTTGTGTGCTTTACGCCGAAACAAAATGGTGACAGTTGTGTTGCTTGATGGGGTTCTGCAAAAGGGTCTTGTGTCATACGTATAGGAAGTGTCCTGCTATATAACATTGCATCAACACATACGATTAAAGTATATGCTCAGAGGTGTGTTCAGGAGAAGTGGAATGAGTGCAGCCCAATGCAACAAGTCTGCCAGTCTGTTATGTCCCATTAATTAATATTGAAGGGTCAGAGATGCGAGTGTCCTCAAAAGGACCTGCGGGTGTGGTGAACACAATTCTTGGTGTATAAACTCTGGAGGCGTAAAGGCGAGCGGAAATAGGTTTATCTGGTTAGTGTATGAAATATGTTTATTTCCCCTGGATTACATAATTATTGACTATTAGTTAATGGTTCCAGAATGAGTTCTTTCTGCGACAGTCTCCTGTCAGGCGTTCAGTCGTAATACCTGTGGACCTTGATGTGGGATGACGCTCCTGGCATGTCGGTGTTTAGTTTGGTCGAGTAGCAAGTCTGAACGACTGATGCCGTCTTGCAATCATACGTAATGTACGCCCACTGACATCCGATGCACTGAAGCTGCAGGGCTGGCTTCTAATCCGCAAAATGTTCCTGGTAGTTTTCTGCATCAATGCAGCAAGCTCGGGCATGTATGGCTTATGTGGCTGTGCCTTTTGCTGTACCGTTGACTTGGTACCTAACAACAATGTTTGTTTGCTATCCAAGCCATTTCACTTCCATTTCGTAATGGAGATTTATTCTGCATCCCATGACCACTGCAACTTGTGCAAGTCTTGTGTGGCAAAGTGAAGTCTCGTGATGCTTGCGGTCCACTTTTGAGAGCAACCAACCATTCTATTTGTTAAGGTCACTGAGCGGCATTCTCCCTCAAAGTTGAAAATTGTGTGCTTCGTGGCGTGTACACAAATAATTAGTGGCAGCAAATTATTAGGTATTATCCTTGGACGACCACCGACACCAGATCAACTCTCCTTGCATCGCCGCTCACCTGCTTTGTCGTGCTTACCTCCCGTCCAGATGAAGTAGATCACGAGCTTCGGGGTAATGTCGGCACCAGGGACAAAGACCGCCGAAGATAATCCTCAATCTTCCCCGGACGCTCATCGAGACGTGGTCGAGGGTCGTTCGGCACGAACCCTTGCAGGCCAATTCATTGGTACGGGCACCTCCAGCAGACACGGTTGGCCTCGTGCAGTGGTAGCAGAGTGGTTTTCGGTCGGCCATTCGCAGTATCTCCGCTTTCCTCTGTGTACTTTGTTCAGCGCGGACCTACACTGGTTCTTCCCGACGTCGGGAATGCTTCGGCGTCGGGGTGTCTCGTTGAATTGGCCGGTGGTGGTCGTTGTGACTTTGTGGCATAAGTCGCCCTCGTTTCGTCAGATGCCGCTTCGCTCAAAGAGGTCTCCAGTTGAGATGCCTGTCGAACTTCTGAAACAATCTCGCTGGCGTCGAAGTTGCAGCTGGACGACTCGAGTGTCGCGACGCTGGGGAGTTGTTGATAGTGACATGCTTGGGCCTGCAGTGTACATTCAATGTTGGAAGCTTCATTGATATGAACCCTTCTACTGTTGTCGTGGGGTTGCGGACAAGGCTACTGAAGGTGTTGTTCCTCACATGAGGAACATGGGATTCTTAGCTTCTTGTCTTCTGTAGCATCTGCACGGTTGGCGTGGGTGCTCGATCAGAAGCAAAACATCCTCCACGACGGTGGTGACGCTCTTGTTGGGGCCGTGTCCTGGACAGAATCAGGAAATTGGCTCTCTCTCGCCAATGTTGGCTGATGAACATGCACTTCAGCTCGATCTTGCAAACTTCCCACGGCGTTAAGGAGGATTCGTGGTTCTCAAACCAGTGCCTCGCAGTTTCTTCCACGAGAAGTATAGGTTCTGCAGGAGCTGGTTGTCCATCTACCCACTGTGGCGGGCAACACGGTCATATTGTTCAATCCAGCCCTCGACGTGTTATGCACCTTGCGTGAAAGGGCATCAAAGTGTGAGTTGCGACGGGCATGCAAACAATGGCGGGAGCGGATGTGGTTTGCTGCTACAGGTTTGTCATTGTTGGCTTAGCCAGCTTTGGTTTTTTCTGGCAAAAGACCTAATTGCTATGGTTCTTGCTGGTAGCAGCGACTGGCTTGGATTTCAAGTTCTTCGTGGTGTATTTCCGAGTTTCGTCCTTGTGGTACTCGCTCGTCTTGCGGTTTTTCTGCTGGGCTCGGGATAGGACTTGGTTCACGACTCGCCGGGGGTTTAAGACTCGGGATAATGTGCCACTCACGTCTTGTTATCGGGCAACTCGGCTGAGGAGCCGCCAGGGTACACACAGAGTGAAGGGCTATGGGTAAAGTGTGCAGCACCTCCACCAGAACATACAATGACAGCTGAGCATGGCCCAGAACTTTCCAGAGTATTAAATATTGATAGAAAATAGGACTGGTGGAAGCATCCGTGACAATATAACAAAACAGACAGAAAGGGTCTATCCTGACCACTAAAGAAGCTGCACTGCTTTAGTGGCATTCCGTCCGAATAAATCCTCTCTGGCGACTGCCGTGGACGAGCTGAACTGAAATCGATGCGAGACCACTTTTCTGGTAATGAGCTGCTGCAGACTGTCTTCGCAAAGCGGCGTGAATGGGTGGACTGGGTCGGTAACTCGCGCGATGATATGTCCATACAGCTTGCAATTCACGTAACGAGTGTTGATGAAACTTTGGTGTCGACGAAACGTGCGACAGACCAGCGGAATCAATACCAACTGCAACACCTGTGCTCCGTGAAGGTGCACGTCTACGCCAGAACAATTTAGTAGGCAGCACAGCATCACCTAAAGCACGGCACAGGAACTACCAGCTTGAAAGCAGCTCTTCGGCGCGCCGCACACCTGTGCTCCGTGAAAGTGCACGTCTACGCCGGAACAATTTGGGAAGCAGCAAAGCATCATTTAGCACGGCACGGCAACTACCAGCTTCAAGGCAGCTCTCCGAGGCACCGCACAACCAAAGTGAGCCTTCGGGCATTTGAACGAAGCGGCACCACGATTGCACACTGCCAAGCACGACTCACGCAATTTCCGTCGCTAAACTGTGTATCCAAATATATTGCACACGCTTTATTGCAGATCTCGACGGTTCCGATGGTCAATGAGAGCACAGAAACGTCGCCTTAAATTTTATCCTTGCGGTATCCGAATCAATCCGAGGTGGGAGCAACGTAGGGCAGATTGTCTCCTCCGTGGCAATATCGCCGTCGGTCACCAGCAAAATGCACACCGTTCCTCCGTATTTTCACCTTGTACCTACGTCAGACACCACGCTGAACACTGAAGTCGCTGTCGAACGGCCTCATATCACGGCGTCCGCGTCTGAAATCAACTCGCCGAGACGAACGACAATCAACAAAGCATCCGACAAGCTCCGGCCCAGCTGGGGCCAGCCGCTGCATGGGCGCTGCCATCTTTCCTGTGACGTCACGGATTTGGTTTGGTCATGTGACGAGTGGTCAAATTTGCGTACAATGGCAGCCACCTTATGGGGGTCACTTTCGAGTGCAGACCGGAACCCCGGTCTATCGCTCTAAGCCCCTCTACCTCGTTGCGTTTCGCGTATCGTGGGACTCGCAGGGACGGCGATGGCAGCGGACGACGGGCGTGGGATCTCTATTTCAGAACTGTCGTTCGCGGTACCGGCGAATTTTGTCTGCCTTTAAAAGAGAAATTTGGGACTGATCAAAAGAACTGGTATTCATCCCGTACGACACGCCCGATCACCAAGCCGATTTGCATGAAGACGTCGCCGAGCCGTCGCTCCCTTCTCGTGGCTGAAGACATCGCTCGCGCAAACGTCAAGCACGACGTGTCTACTTCGAGTTGAGTATGCACGCGTACGATTTCTTTACTACGTGAGAATGTCGCCAATGCGCGGTGCATCCCGACTTCGACCCGGGAGTGCTTTTGCTAGAGGAAAATCGGCAGCAAACTTTCCAACTTACAGTTTATCGGCTGAATTATTACTAAGGAAAGAGATTCCCCAATTTCGGTAAGCCCCAGTAGCTCAGTGGGAAAGACGTCCCCTTCACACGCGGTAGGACCGGCTTCGATCCCCAGTGAAACCCTTTTTTTTTTTTTTTCTTTTTTTTAAATATTTTTTGATGTCTACATTTCTTTTTCTTTTTAAACAATTATCACTGAAGAAACAAAAAATAAGAAACAAATGTTGTGGACGACACGTCGCTGAATTAAATGGTACGGGATTTCCTTTTTGACACCTGCGAACTCAATGTAATCACTTTCCACAAAATGCAAGGAGCATATAAATCAGGTAGCGTCCGCTTTCCGAGGTGCCCGTAAATGGTCTACAGGAATTGCAGCCAGCCATTGGTCCCGATCCCTTTGATCTTTCGGACACTCTGTCGCACAATGCCACTTCTGTTTCGGACGCAGGGCATGTGAGCCAGCTCTTCACGCAACATCTTGGGTGTATTCTTTTCGGAGCCGATCAAAATTCACCACGGGCACTCACTACTCATCTCCAACTCCTCAATGTACAAAACAACTCATCTTGGAGTACAGAACAACGAGTGGAACATACATAACTGCAAAAGAATCGCTCGGTGAACAGTTCCGGTACGCCGCATGTCGTCTGCTACGGGAAGGAGGAAAAAAAAAAAAAAAGAACACGGTCGCGTGTAGCCACGTGACTTCCGCCACTCACACTCTTCTCTCCACTTCTCCGACCTCCGTCGGGTTTCGGTTTCGAGCAGTTGCGTCTTTTGGCTTTATTAAAAAAATACGCTACTCTGTCGCAAAATATTATTTGAGTAGTCCTCCGACACCATAATAAAGCGCCTGGCAAAAAATTTAAAAAACATTTTGGGGGGTGTCAGTGTCCCTTTAAAGACGCCCGCCCGCCCGCCGCCGCCGCTGCCGCCCTCCCCCTCTTCCCCTTCCCCTTCCCCCTTCCCTTCCTTCCTTCCTTCCTTCCTTCCTTCCTTCCTTCCTTCCTTCCTTCCCCCTTCCCCCTTCCCCCCCCCCCCCCCCCCCCCCCAATTACTGATCTATGGTCACACGTCACTCTGCACTGGCAAATATTCCAGCACATCCGGGACACTCGTCGTCTCATTTAATTGCCTGACCAGCTTCGCAGAATCTAGATATCACACCCTAACTTTTCTAAACTTGATTTTTGTGAAAACCGGTGAGTCGTGAAAACATTATTTGAAACAAACTGTGAAAGAACTTGAAAACCGGACTTCGAACTTTGAAAACTTGGGCTAGAAAGTAAATCAAAATCTTCGAAGTTTTTTTTTTTTTTTTTTTTTCAAGTTTAGCGTCAAAAGAGAATGGAAACCTTCAAACTTTTCTAACTTTATGCACAAAGAAATTCGAAATCTTTGAATTGTTCAAACTTCATGTCTATAAAATTCGAAGCGTTCGAAGTTTTCGAATTTTATTTCCAAAGAATTTTGAAATCTTTGAATTTATCGAATCTGAAGCAAAAATATTCGAAATATTCGAATCCGAAATTTTAGAAACCGTGAAAGCTTTGAACTTTTCGAATTTGAAACTCCACTGTGATCGAAAGTTGTGAATTTTTCGAATTTGAACCTCGGTCGGTACGAAAATATTGAAATTTTTCAAAATCAAACCTTAGTGCGCTTCGCAAATATCGAAACCTTTCGAAATCGAACGTGGGGTGGTTCGCGACATCCCTAAATATGTGCCTTTATGTGCTGGTGCCTACTAGCAATATTGATGCATATTATATCATGTTTTCTATGTTATATAATACCTTCTAAATGTTTAAGGTAACCCAAATAAAAAAATAAATTAAAACAATATTTGTCTAACTACACCGTGACTTCACAGGAACCATGAAACTATTTGAAATTTTTCCTTACATGACGTCCCCCAAAATTACTGTTTTTAATGATGGCAAACTTTTACTTCGAAACGTGCGTCAGTTTTCTAAGCTTCACGTCTTAACTTCTGTCTAAAAATCCAAGAAAACCAAGTCGAGTTTCCTCTTTTGATTATGCTTGGAAGGCTAAAAGAGGAGGGTGACACACTCTCAGAAACTTAGTTTGTTCCATGGTTGCTTCTGACGCCGGCAACTCAAGACTCTCTCACTGATCTCAGTCACGCCGGGGAACCCACCTTCTTGTGGACAAAGTTGCAAGCCATGTCCTTGAGCGACTTGAGGTTCATCTCGCTCGTCTCGACCGTCACTGTGTCCCGGACCACGCCCGCCTGCATCAGGAAGGTCACTTCCGCAGGCACGTTCAGCACCGGCAGCTCCATCACGCTGAAAGACTGCGCGGAACAGAAAAAGAAAAAAAATACAAACACCATTAATTTTAAGAATGTCAGTCAGATTTCCTGGACTATAGCCAGTGGACATTTCCCCGGCTAGCACAGTTCTTTGGGTGAAAAGCTTGTTCTTTTTTTTTTTTTGTCTGTGAACTTACGGCCTTAAAAAGCTCAAAAAAGCCAAGGTTAAGCAAAACTTGACTTTCATTGGCCAGAGTCTGGGTATCTTGGCCCCACACTGCCAAGCAAGTACCAAAGTAAGGCTTCACTGCTGGTAGTTTGGATGTCATCTGGCATCTTAGGGGCTAAATCGCCAAACAAGTGCCCGAGTTAAGCTTCAATTCTGGTTGTTTGGCTTTCATGTGGCAACCTTGGGCTTAAATTTCTGAACAAGTGCCAGATTTAGGCTTGACTGCTGGTTCCGTGGCCTCTTTGGCACAAGTCTGGCATTTTGGCAATTATATGGCGAGTCAAAGAAAAGCCATAGAGATGCCAAAAAAAGAGCACTCTGGCACGGACTATAATGCCTTAGGCTCAAGTTGGGCCCTTAGGATTGCCAGGCTTGAGCAAAGTTAAACGTTTCTCTGGTGTTCTTACCTGGCACGTTTAGAAGTTGAAATTGTACGTGCTGTGGACTGTCTAAGGGTGCAGACTATAAAAGGCTTTGTTTTTATCAGGCTATACGAGATAACGACCAGGAACACACAGCCCATTACCATCTGCAAGTCAGCTCTATTAGGCCTTAAATATGTTCCTATCAAATGCAAAGCTTGTTAGAAAGTAAAATCCGGTCGATGACTGCTTACACAGAAGGGAATGTTCACACACAAAGACGTTAGTCCGCATTAGAATGGCACCCAATGTCTCCACTGTGGTAAGAAATTTTAATCCCTGCAGTACGACTCGCAGTAGCAATTCTATGAACGCAAACTGATACAACATCCATCTATGCTAAACCGGCAGGACAGACGTTAGCTCACACTGTCTCAATCCATAGTGCAATCTATTGTTACATGTGCCGCTGATCTGTGGTACTATTCTCACGTTATTCATTCAGGGGTGGTCCAGCCAGTTCAAAGCAGAAAAAAAAAATCTCGTTTTGGATCAGTGCATTTGGAGCAATTTGGTGCAGTTCCCTATAAGTGATGCCAGCATGCAATCGCGTGATCAGTTGCGTGATATCCATTAAAACCCAACGTTAGCAGTTACACTGCAGTAGCCAAATTGCCTTTTGACAGCTTTGAAGCCGTGGTACAAACTTAGTCAAAATCGTGTTTTGTTTTCTTTAGTGATAGTGGACAAAGGTTAGCAGGATTGATGTGACCGTGCTAACTACCACCATTGACAAATCGATGCAGAGTGCCAATTTAACTCTTTAGATCAGGGTTCTCCAAACATTTTGGCTATGGAGCTGGATTGGGGACCTGTCGTGGTCTTGAGTGCCACAAAAAAGATGAGACAACATAAATGAGGAAATGTTAAAAGGAAGCTAAAGAGGTTCTTGAAAAAAATAAAATTAGTTAGAGGTGAATTCTAGAGTATTTTTATCCCGTGAATCTGAATATCATGTTCGTTTTTACCGAAGATGTAACCATGTAACTTAACGCAAGAAAACACGAAAACCCTCTGACCAGTCGTTATGCCATACGCAGATCTTTCGGCCCCCAAGCACGTGTCGCTCGTGTGGACAGCACGTGCAATTGCAAGCTTGCCATGTATATTCCCTCAAACTGATAACAGTCACGACATCTTTTTTAAATTTTTTTTTAATATAGCAAGAGAAGCATATATAGCTTTGATAGGCGCTGAAGCAGAGATTCCAAAAACTCTCTATCTGAAGTCACGCTCCGGGAAGGAGGGACTTCAACGGTACTTCAAAAATTGTTTCTTGTAGCCTCCATGCACCAAATTTAAAAATAATCTCGATATTCGTGATCCTGAAGGCCAAATGAAGACGATTTAAGTGTTTTTTTTTTTTCTCAAATACAGAACCACTTAAAGGGATACTTCAACAATATTTGAAATATTCCCGTCGTGTTCAAAAATAGGTTGAATATGATCCACAATATCTGTAAATGCCCATCGCATGTTTGTATTTTGAGCCTGGTGGCTGCATTTTTCGTTATAAACGGCCCACTCTGGCAAGCGCTCGGAGAAGGCCCAGCGGAGACCACGTGACATCCAACGCAATCGTGACGTAGGTCGTCTCAAGACGAGCAAAGCTACGGCGAGGCTGACGTCGAGAGGATGGCCTAGTCGTCCCAGCCACCGAAGCGGCTGCTTTGTACGAATTTTGAGTGACGGGTTAATCTTCTGTAATCTTGTAGGGGGACAATAGCGACTTCTGCGACACACAAAAGGCATTCTCGGGAAGAGGGGAGTTCCTCCTGCCCCTCTTTTCTCGTCGTGGCCGGAGGCGAGACAGCCTCCGTCACTAGCTGTCAAGGTTCCTAGACGGGCATTACAAGCGAGGCGTTAGTGACATCCACCAGGTGCTCTTTGCTAATCGTTTAATTTTTTTTTTTAATTCCTTTTCGTGACTTTTTTAACAAGATATCGGTATGTTTGATGTGATGCTGCTTTTTTGAACACATATAGACCAAAAAATGAACGCCACTATTTCGTTGTAGTATCCCTTTAAGTTTCATTTTAAATATATATGCCTGAATAAGCACTTAAATACAAAATTGTAAACTAGAGCAAAAATTTAAAACAAAGAAAGGTAGATGATTACATACCATACTTTATTTTAAATGAAATACGTTGATAATTATGACATCACAAAATAATCGTGACCCAGAGAACTCACCAGGCATAAGTAGAAGTTAATGAACTTTGACATATTAACACAGGACAGAACAAATCAAAATCAAATTTGGGGGCTTTACGTGCCAAACCAACGACGGGCATCTGGCACGCCCCAGCTTAGGACTGAGGATTAATTTCGACCACCTGGGGATCTTTTGAAGTGCAATTGAAAGCTCGGTTACATGGCACCTCCTCTGCAATAAGCCTCCGTCAGATTGCGGGCACCTCGGCCGGGATTCGAACCCGTCACACGGGGATCCGTAGGCACAGCACAGAACACTAATGAGAATGATAGATCTGACAATCACAATATGCAAAAGTTATGACACAGATCATATAGTTGCACAGACATGAAACAAGGAACTATGAATAATAATGCTGGTGATCAAAATGGCACAAATAAACCACCCCTGAGTATTGTGCAACACAGCCAGTGACCCTTATTTTACCTAGTCTGCTATTGCCGCAAAAATTGTTGCAATGACCAGTATTAGCTGGGCAGACACCAAAATGGCCATATAAACATCCGTTTCTCCCCATGAGAGTCCTTGACGTCAAGAGAAGAAAGAAAAAACCCTGCTCGCTAGTAATTGAGAGCTTGCTCAAGCTATACCTGTTCGAGGTTTATGGAAAGCAGAGAAGGGGAGTGTGCGTCGTATGGAAAACAAATATCCGGACAAACCCAGCAATCTTCAGACAGGACAGCTCGTATCTGCTTTTACTAATGCTGCCAAGAATTCCAAGTGTTACGCAAAGCCGAAACATCATACGATTATCAGAAATGAAATATGGATGCAAATGTTTGCGTGCATGACTGGAACCCGTCTTCACCTCCAAATGCTCCGCGCTAAAAAAAGAGAAGAAAAGAAAAACCTATTCTTAGAATTCTTGCATGCCCATGCTGGAATCCTTAGATTTGATAATCGTCGTACAAAATCTTCAAAAGCAGAAGCGCAGTTGTAAATAAAACTTCCCCTCAACTAATCCTATCTGTGCTATTGGTGTGTTTCTTGCGTGCTGCAGAGCTTGAATTAAAAAAGAAACGTAGGCAGAAAGGTTTAGTCACGGTAGGAAGGGCGTATTTAAAAGGGGGCAGATAATTGATGACACTGTGTAGGGATTTTTCTTCCTAGTAAGCCTCGAGGCAAAGCTTCTTTAATGCTCAGCTCAACATCTGAACCTAAGGCAAGCTTAAGTCTTGAAGCTTCAAATTAAGTTACGTCCTTTCAGAAGTTCCTGAGGCAGGTATCATACAAAAGATTTCTACAAATACTGTAGAAACATTACATATCTATACACCTTTCCAAAAAACACTCGACCCCAGGGGACACAAACCGTTTTCGAGCCTAGTCACTGAGTTTGAGGCTAGACTCTCACCGGCGTCCCTCCTAACCCTAACCGAGTGGACTGTGATTTCAATAGGCGCAGCCTGCGTAGGCGCAGTTTCAAACGCTGCTGGCGGTTAAATTCTCGTCTTTTCCCGCTATATTTTGTGTTTCATGGTACATGCATTTCCCGAGGACATTGAAAACGCATTGTACACATTAAAAAAAAAAGCAAAAAAAAAAAAGATCTATATTTGTTGGGTACGCGTGCGACAGAACGAATGCGACTGGAATGTATAGTTCTAATTATTTGTGTTTTTTTCTTACGAAAAGTTTCGATGGCGCCGCGGGATCTGCCGCATGTGAAACGACAAAGCGCTTTGCTGTCAAAAATAAATTGCAACAGAAGAGGGCCGAAAGGCATGCATTTTTCATGCTCACAAATAACGTGTTTACCGATGGACAGGAAACGGACATACACGAAAATAATTTATTTGAGAAAGATCTCAAATAACAGAGTCACAGTCGACGACAGTCACATCTTGACGATTGGACGGAATCCGAGATGACTTCATTTTGAGGCACGTTTTGGGGAGAGCTTCCTTTTTTCACAACCGTACCAATACAAAGGAACAAACGCGACTGACCCGTTTCCCACCCCAACCTGGACAACTATTTTGGGAGAGGACTGAGGATTCTACGCGGATTATCTGTAAGAGGGGAGAGAACAATGTTCGCAAAATCGCGTCGAGGGTCGTTCGACGTCCTTCACGTCCTTCGTTTCCCGTGAATGTAAAGCAGAAAAAACTTGAATGGCAGGCACTTACCAGCCTTTTTTCTCAAAATGGAAGATAACACAAAAAGAGTATG